GGAGCTGATGACTGAAATGGGGCGGCGCGTGTAGTCACCCGCGCCGGAAAATAGCTTACAATGGTGGCGCGTGCGAGCTCTGATGGCGGCACGATTCCGACGGCGGGTAGATCGGCAGCCGGCGAGCACTGTTGTAAGGTTCGTGATGAAGAAGGACAACTCAGAGAGGTACCTTTGATATGAGAGTTACGTGAGTTTCAACGAAAATAGGATTAACCCGATAGTGCTAGGAGAGAGAAAAAAACTCGATCTCCAAAAAGGCATGGGCTCTGATACCATGAAGAATTTGAGAAATAAATTCTATTGATTTTCTCGCTTCTTACAAAATATGTAATTTACAAAGGTATTTATATACAAAGTTGAAACTTAATTAGGAAATATACAAAAAAGGCAGTAGAATAAAATTATTATAAAGAATTTGCCCATAAATTAGGACCTAAAATCTGCTAAATCTCCAAAGATTAGTCAACAAAATCCATAGAAATATCATACTAAATATGAGTAGGAATCGGCAAAGGTTGTAATAACCTTGCTAGACATAATGTTTGAGACTTGTTTCTTTGACAAACGTCACATGCTACCACAAATTGCTGAACATCCTTCTTCATTCCTTCCCAATAGATCAAACTGGAAATTCTCTTAAAGTTTTGAAAAATCCAGTGTGAACACCCATAGCAGAATTATGAAATTTTGAAACTATTAAAGATCTTTTAGCAGAATTTTTTGGTAGCACTAACCTTCATTTATATAAAAGTTTATTTCCTTGCAATTGATAACTTGGATGACATTTGGATTCACTAACAAATCTTGCATAATAGTTCTCAATTTATTATCAGCTTGTATCTCTTCCCACCAATCATCCAAATTAGAAAATTGTACCAGAGAAACTGCAGCAAAAATCATCTTTCCTGAAAGTGCATCAGCAGCTCTATTCTCACACTCTGGTTTGTATTTAATTTCGAAATCAAAGCCAATCAATTTGGAAGTCCACTTAAATTGTTCTTCCCCCATCAATCTTTGCTTTTTAAGGAACTTAGGACTTCTTTGATCAGTTTGTGTGATAAAATGCCTTCCCATCAAATAATGCTGCCATTTTTGAACTACCATCACTATTGCCATTAATTCCCTCTCATAAACCGATTTGGCTTGAGCTATTTCAGATAGGGCTTTATTAAGAAAAGCTACCGGTCTACCTTCTTGTAACAAAACAGCCCCCAACCCTTTGTTAGAAGTATCAGTCTCTAGCACAAAAAGTTTTTGAAAAATGCAGAGTGGCTAGTATTGGAAGAATGGTCATAGCAGTCTGTAATGAACCAAAAGCTTCTTGAGCCTCCTTGTTCTAATGAAAATTATCTTTCTTTAATAATTGAGTTAAAAGTTTGGCAATTTTGCCATAATCTTTAACAAATCTTCTATAATAGCCTGTAAGTTTGAAAAAAACCTCTGAATGCCTTCACATCCTTGGGTGCTGGCCACAACCACATAGCCTTAACTTTTGTTGGATCAGCAGCCACCCGTTCGGCTGAAATAATGTGGCCCAAATACTCTAATTTTCCGTGGCCAAAGCTGCAATTTTTTTTTAATATTAACAAACAATTTATGCTCTCTTAACAATTGAAGCACTTCTTGCAAATGTCTTAAATGAACTTCTTGATTGATGTTGTATATCAAGATATCATCAAAGAATACCAGCACAAATTTACTCAAAAATGGCCTGAAAATATCATTCATAAGTGCTTGAAAAACCGAAGGAGTATTGGTTAAACCAAAAGGGTCACTAAGAATTCATAATGCCCCTTGTGAGTATGAAATGCAGTTTTTTGAATATCTTCCTCCTTCATTCTAATTTGGTGGTATTTTGACTTGAGATCCAAATTGGAAAAAAATAGTTGCTGCTCCCAATTCATTCAATAATTCATCAATAATAGGAATTGGAAACCTATCCCTAACATTAATTTTATTTGAAGTTCTATAATCCACACAAAATCTCCAACTGCTATCTTTCTTCTTTACCAAAATAATTGGATTAGAGTAAGGACTAACACTAGGTCTTATAATACCAGTAGTTAACATTTCATCAATCAACTTTTCTATCTCATTATTTTGGTAATAGGGATACCTATATGGCCATAAGTTGGGAATTTCAGCACCTTCCTTAAGAATAATTGCATGATCTTGCTTCCTTTCTAGAGGTAACCCTTGGGGCTTCTTGAATACATCATTAAATCCCACTAAAACTTTTTGTATGACAGCTGGAATGGACTCGTTATCACTTGATACTCCTGTCATAGCTTTGAATTCAATAAAGAACCCTTGACTTTCATCATGGAGAGCCTTCACCATTGATTTCAACGAAGCAACTGATCTGGACAATGTTGTTTCACTCCTTAAAATCAACATTTCACCTTCAACCTCAATCTTGACAGTTAATTTTCTAAAGTTTGCCCTTATTTCTCCTAAACTTTCCAACCAATCCATGCCTCACACTAGATCAGCTCCTTTTAACTCAAATAGAAAAAATTTCTGCTAAATTTCCAGCCCTCGCAATTTCAAAATTACTTCTTGACAAACTCCCATGCATTTGATTTTGTGTCCATCCCCTATTTCTACGTAATAGGTAAGTGTACTTGCTATAGGAATATTCAGTTCCTGCATCAAATTAGTAGCTATGAAGTTATGAAATGCACCACAATTAATCAACACTACTACCTTTTCATTTCTAATTTCACCCAACTTAAGTGATCTTTTAGAGGTTAGCCTATAATACTTTGCATGGACAATTGTAAAGCCTTCTCATCTTGGTTTTCCTCAATTAATAAAGAACCATCTTCTCTCTCCCCATCCTTAATTTCTTCCATCAACATTACTTGAAATTGCTTATTTTTGCATATGTGGCCAGGATTTATTTTTGATCACATCTAAAACACAATCCCTTCCTGATCTTTTCTTATAATTCAGCTTCTGATAATCTCTTAAATCCCCCTCCTTTACTTCTGAAAGTACCATTCGGCTTATCAATACTAGACCCAATCCTTGTGTTTCCCCTTGACGCTCATTTTGCATGCTGATTTTTGGGTCAGCTTCCACAGTTACTGTCTTTGAAAAAGGATAGCTGCTGTGATTAATTCCCCTTTTTCCTCCTATTGTAAATCCCCCAATTCTTAAAGCTGAGTTCTTTTCATCGATCATCTGAGCATAATCCATCATTTCCGAGAGAGTTTCCACTTGATGCAACTTCAGTTCCGCTCTAATTTCCTGCTTTAATCCATTCAAAAATATTCTTTTGAGGTGTTGCTTATCCGTACATCTCAAAGAACCTGCATATAACTCAAAATTTTCCCTAAAATCCTCCACCGTTGTAGTTTGTTTCAAACTCAACAGTAACTCATATGGATTCTGCATCATTGTTGGCTGAAATCTTCGAATTACCACTCTCTTAAAGCTCCCCCACGAAGGATTTATCAAACAAGATTCCGAACATTGGAACCAACTTAATGCCTTACCTTCCAAGGCTACCATTATAGCTTGTAGTTTTTCTTCCTCCATCATTCCTTGATTTGGAAATAAAGTTCAACTCTATTTACCCATCCATATGCATCTTCGCCCGAGAACATTGGAATTTCAAGTTTTCTCCAACGACCACCCGATTTAGAAGTTTTTGTTCCTTCGCTATACCCACTGTTAACTTATTTGTTTCCCACAATATGATTTACCTCCATATCTGATTTGTCTCCCATCATACTCCTAGTCAACCCTTCAAGAAGTTCTTCAATTTTCTTCATTTGGGCATCTTGAAATTCTTTGTGTGTTTCTTGGATTTCTCTATCTTCTTCCATTTCCCTTTTCCATGCTTCTAAACCTTTTTCTAATAACTCCAATCTAGATTCCATCCTCATATTCAACATGAAAATAAGAAGAAACAAAAAGTTTAAACTCAGTACTTAACAAAGATGCAATCCTCCTTGCAACAAGCAACTTTTCTTTTTCTTCAGTTATTGCCACTCACTAGTCAATTACAATCTTCCCTGTGACCTAGAACAGGCAATCAAACAATTTCTCCTCTTCCTTGCTCGATTCGACCCAGATTATTCCTTGCTCTAGTGCCAATTGATAAGAACAAATTTCTAAATTCTGAATCTTGAAACAATTTTATTCATAAATTATCAATTATAGATCAATTCGGGACATTAGAGAGGTTCTGATCTCTCCTAACTAAATACTCACCCAAATCTCTCCTAACTTCCCTTCTTTCCCTCCTCATATTTATTCCTCCTTTAGTTACAATTGCAAAATTAATCTACCCAAGAAATAATAGACTTTTTAACTTAAAGAAACCAACACTTCCAACTGAAGGAAACTAACACAAACCAACACTTCTAACTGCAAGAAACCATCACAACCCTTAACGGCTCTCATCCTACACCACAACCTTCTTTCTTCTAACATATATATGCTGTAATGGAGGTTTCCTAACAGCCTTCTAGACATAAGCACAATGGAAGGTGAGACAAGGACTTGGTTGAGAAAAGGTGCATATTGAATGATGTCTATAATATTTCTATATATATTGAGATTAAATATAAAACACGCAGTCATATCAAATGCATATACCCAAATAAACAGCAACAAATCTGTAATATATCCTAAATTTCATAAAAATAAGTAGCAGAAAATATATCATGCAACAATTACAGCGAATAACCAGATCCTTTAGAAACTTAAACTCCAAACTAGCAAATCCATTGAAAGCAAAGTTATTACTAATAGTAAATGGAAATTTATAATTGAAAAAACTAAAAATGGAAAATATTATTTGGAAGACAATTTACAAAACCCTATAGAATGATGGAAAAAATGGTTGGTTTTTCAGAAGGAATAGGTACTAAAAGAAATTACTAAAATAAAAAATAACAAGAAAGAAATAGAAGAAAAAGAACAAAATAGACTGGTGAAGAAACCTGAAAAGTAGAGAAAAGGAGAGAGAGAGCATTAAGTGCAGAATGAAGATGGTAAGTAAAACTTGAAATAGGACAGTTAAATGCAGTTGGAAAAAACAATTTAATAAGTCATAAAAGCCCTAATAGAAAAAAGTCATACACATATTTAACCTTTTAAGTTCTTTACAAAACCAAATTTTGTCCAATTTCATTAAGGTGTGCCTTTATGGGACGTTGGGCCTTGGGCTATGGGCTTATGTGGTCAAGTTGTTCTTCTGAATAAAGGGCCTGGCCTTGATAGAAGCAAGGGCACTAGTGGAGCCTTGATGAATCTTGCGCTTTTAACAATTATGGTAGACCTTTGTGCACAAATTGAAATCATAGAAGTTTCTTCTTTTTGATTTGAGCTGATTGTGGCCTCAAAACTTTGGGGGGTGGTGTTATGGTGGATTGTTTGGGAATGCAGAATGGGAAAGACAACCATTTTGGACTATACTATTAGAATTAGTGTATCTTGTAAATCAATTTTCTTCCAATAACTTTATGTCCAATATAATAGAGATGATTTTTTATTTAATCAATCATATAAAACCCTTATACAGTGGTATGATGGCCCAATCATGTCTGTATCTTTCTTTTGTCATTAAACTTCCAATTTCTTTAGACTTTAATCTATTGTATTTGATTTTTTTCTTTTCTCCTAAGGTATCTGTTAGGAAGCAGTTAGGAAAGAGATTTTACCGCTAGTTTTAGGATGGAAATATACTATGTTTCACTTCATGTGTTCCAAAATGTAGTTCACTGGGGTATCAATGTTTTTTGATGACACTTTCCAAATTAATTGAGTAACCAAAAAAAAAAATTCATTGGCTTATATAGTATATTTTATATTCTAAAATTTGCTTTTTAGAATTCATATTTGTAAAGGAATTTGGCCAAGTGTTAAATATACATGGACCTTACTTTGGTAATTGAAGATCACAGTTTCACAAGACTGGTAACTTCTGAGAACTAATTAAAAATATTTCTGCTGATAAAATAAATGGTTAGGATATAGTGGCAGAAGTCTTTGCGTTTTTATTAGCTGCTATACTGATGCTGGCATTGGATCTAGGATGAAAGAGATTGCCAAGAAAGTGTAAGGGAATGGCTCCAAAGGAGTGATGCTGATCACCGTGATAAGCTGTTAGCTTGTGGCGCCCTTATTGTTGCAGAACTCAGAATGCAAGTTTTGAGGGAGACTGAATTCACATGTTCTGCTGGTATTGCTCATAACAAGGTGGGATGCAGTGAATTTTTTTTTTTTTTTTTTTTTTACCTTCCAGATAGCATCACTTGATGGGAAACAGTACCATGTGAACTTGGATTTATAAATGGTGCTTCTATACCACTTTGTTGGCAGATGCTGGCAAAACTTGCAAGTAGTATGAATAAACCTGCACAGCAAACTCTTGTGCCCTCTGCATCTGTAAAGGGATTGCTTGAATATTTACCAATTAAGAAAATGTAAGATTCTACTAGCACTAAATTTATAAGTTTTGATTTTGAGAAACGCCATTTTATGTTTTATCTTCAAGTATGTTTTTTTTTTTTTTTTCCGTTCCCTTTTTTTTGGATGACACAATGAATAATGCTTCTTTTTGTGATAATTTAGCTCGCGTTACTTTTTACAATGCAAGGAAAGTGATTATCAGTTTCTCAAAAAGCACAAACATTATGAATGTACTATGAGCAAAATTTTCTTGCAGGAAACAGCTTGGGGGGAAGCTTGGTACTTCTTTACAAGATGACCTAGGTGTGAATACTGTGGGTGACTTATTGCAATTCTCAGAGGAAAAGCTACAAGAACGTTATGGCATTAACACTGGGTCATTATCTATCGCCTCATTTTCATTTAATCTGTTAAGAAGTTTTCTGTATTTTCCAACAATAAAATTGTTTAAATTTGTTCAATTCTATGCCCTGCAAATTCAAATCTCTAGTACACTTCTTCAAACAGCATCCCTGTCTTAATTTTCTTGTTGTTTATTATATGTCAAAGGAAAAGAATAAGTTGCCATGCTTGGTGATTGAAAATAACTTCCAAGTGTTGCATAAGGATGTGAATGTTTCACTTGAAAATAAGAATTTGTATCAATAACTTGAGGATTCAGACCTCAATGAATGAGAGTTACAAAGATACACAAAAGGAAATCAAATCAAATCTTCTAATTACAGGAAATAAATCAGCTAACTAATTATGGAAGAATAATCTACACAATCTTTAATTGTAGTAAAAAGATATTCACATAATCTCTACACTCTCCCTCCAGCTGGAGCACATAGGTTACATGCATCAAGCTTGCCACAAATATTGAGACTTCTTGGTCCTTGAAGAGACTTTGTGAAGATATCAGCCAGTTGGTCACTTGAATTAACATATTCTGCAATGATTTCCTTAGATGGTCCATTTTCTTGGACAAAATGACAATCAACCTCTATATGTTTCATCCTCTCATGAAAAACAGGATTTGAGGCTATATGCAAGGCAGCCTGGTTGTGACAACACAGCTTCATCAGGACTGCGTGGTCTTGATCCAAGATGTGGTGCCTAAGACCTCTGAAAGTGATAGTTAGCTTGGCTTTTTTCTTTCCTCTTTTCTGATTATAAAATCTTACACTTTTGGACAATAAAAACACGAGGCAACGGCTGTTAACCTAAGCACCACACTTTCTTAATCCTAGCATCCTAGTTTTCAAAAATTCAAAATATGGTTAAATTACTGTTTGTAGGCTGAGAATGGTCTCCAAACAACCATACCTAGTCCAACATCAAATTAGAGCAGCACTAATGATATAAAACTGAAGCTTGATTTATAATTAGACCTTAACTTGATTTATAGGAACCATTTGGATAATCAGGAAAATTTTTCCAACATTTTAGCTTTTCTTGCTTTAAACCCTTTAGATAAGAGGTGGAACTAATTTTTTTCCCTTCTTCTAGGGGATTAATATTTCTTCCTCATACCAAAAATCATGGTATATATCAAGCACTAGAAGGATTGGAGTTAGTTTGTCTTTGTAATGCCTTTTTGGTTTATATTGACCTTTATTACCAAGTTATTCAACTAAATAGCATGTTTGAGTAGGTGTCTTGACTTAAAATAGTTATTTAATTATTAGCTTGTACACCGGTTTAAATGTTTAGTTATTCCATTTGAACTTTTAAATTTTTCTCTATAATCATTTTTTTTCCCCTCATGTTTCTGAAATATCTGTGTCCAAGCTAACTGAAATGACAACCTGAAATGAAAGTGTGATGATTGTTTGAAATCTAATCTAATGTAAGGAGTTTGGGGCGCCTTCTGATTCCTTGACCTGCATTTCAGTACTTGGTTGTGGAACATTGCCAGAGGAATTAGTGGGGAAGAAGTTGAGGGTCGCCTTCTTCCCAAAAGTCATGGTTCTGCAAAGACATTTCCTGGCGTACAGGCTTTGAAAACAATTGCTTCAGTAAGTATACGTGTATTACCTATGAATCTTTCATCCTTGAATAATTTTTATGCAAATAGTTGATACAACTAACAATATTTATTTCATTTTTAACATAATGCTCTGGTGATTTAAATATATTAGCATATCTTCACTTACATGTATACTTAAAAGTTCTTCATCTACTGAGTGTTCTTGTGTCTCAGCAGTAAGAACAGCCTATGACATTTGGCTTTATCATGTTCACTTCTTGTGGCCAGTGGAGATTGGGGATTAATGCTATCTGTGGCTTACTAGACAATGTTGTCCTGTCCATCAACTAAGAGGGCTAAAAAGAAGCTGATTGGAGGGCATCAGTATCATTCCATGTCTAGTTTCTTTTCTTTTTTATTTTTCTTTTATAAAGAAAAAACTATTCATAGTAAGTTGGAGAAACAAACTTATACTTTTATGATCACATGGACTCATGGTTCTTATGGATTTTGTGCCTCCAATTTTTATCGCTGCAAAAAGTTCTTTTGATCTATTATTGCTGATTGGATTTGTGAAATGTTAGAACTTTGAGGTTAGGATTTAAACATGCATCATATTATTTAGGATTTAATTAAACCTGTGAAAAACTTAAATGGGCTTATGTAGATAGCTGGTCCACTGAGCCATTTTGTTGGCCAGTCAGTGTTGTAATCTGGCTAGAGGAAAAAGAAATAGAGAGAGATGGAGATTGTGCAGCTGTTAACCTTCTTAGGTTAGACCAGCAAATATATACACCTCCAGCTTGAGGGGGGCGGGGTGTTATGACTAGGGGTATTTTTGAGCTTTTACTTTCTTCCAATACCCTCAAGTCATAACACTCCCTTCAATTTGAAGGATAGATATTATTCATACCCAGTTTGAATAGTACTCTATCCTATTTCCTTGAGGAGTCTTGTTAAAAATACCTGCTAGCTGTTCTCCAGTCTAAAGGCATTTGATTGAAATGAAAAATACCTGCTAGCTGTTCTCCAGTCGAAAGGCATTTGATTGAAATGATACCCTGCTGAATTTTTTCCCAAATAAAATGACAATCCACTTCAAATATCTAATTTTCTTTCTTTTCTTTTACTTCTACTTTTTTTTTTAGGGGGTTGGGGAAGCAGGGAGGAGCTCTGGGAAGGAACTTTCTTTATTTTGCCTATAAAAGGAGAGGCACCACTGGTGTTGAATACAGTTTTACAGTTGACTGTCTTCAACACTAGTGGTGTCACCTCCTCTTTTGGGCCAAATCCTGCAATCCAGTTACAGATTTGCTTGCCAGACCTAGTGTTCACAGTTGATTGTCTTCAACACCAATGGTGCCTTTTCTTTATTTTTTTTTTCCCCCAGCTTGACATATTGATTCCTGTGAAAAATATTCATAATGTCTATTTTACCTTCTTCTAGCAAGTCTACTACTTTTAGTTCAGTAATTCTAAGCCCTCCAGTTATTACTACTGAGCCCCTTAACGGTGCAAATTATTTGCGTTAGGCCTCTGCTGTTAAACTTTGGTTTAAAGGCCAGCGTTATTTTGATCACTTGACTAAGAAAACTTTCAATATCCCAGAGAATGATAGGGATAACTAGGAAGCAATTGATGCTCAGTTGTGTAGTCTACCATGGAATACTGTTGATCGTCAGCTAATTGATCTTTTTTGCCCTTACCAACCTGCTATGAAATGTGGGAGAAAGCCAAATTACTATATACAAATGACATTCAGCTGTTTTATGAGGTTATATCTAATATATTTAATCTTTGAAAATAGGATCAGTCCATGTCTACTTATTTGGGACACATCTAGGGTGTTCGGTCAAAGTTTACTAAGCTCCTTCTTGTCACTTCTGATACAATAAGTTCTTCATACTTCTTACATTGGCTGGTTTATCTTCAAAATTTGACTTTGTTCGTTAACAAATACTAGCGAGTTCTTCCATTCCTTCTATGGAAGATGTCTTTGCTCGACTACTTCGGGTTACTCATCCTATACCTACTTCGACTGCTCTTGTTGGTGACTCTTCTGTTTTGGCTTCCCAATCAATACTGCTTTTACTAGTTTTGGCCATCAAGGGCACAGTAAAGGCCAATGTCCTTTGTGTACTTATTATTATAGGATGGGCTACACTCGTGATCGCTACCACAAATTACATAGCAGGCCACCTGCCAATATTGTCCAATCAAAAGTTTCTCATATGCTTGAGATGCCTACTGTTACCATTCCAGCTATTACATATGAGAGCTATCTAGCATATCAAGCTGCTCAGTCATCTGCCTCTATCTCTGCTTGGTCATCTCCTTCTGCCTCTATTGTGCAAAGTGGTAATTCGGTTGCTTGCCTCACTCACTTGTCTCTTGGTTTCTAGATTCTAGACCCAGGTGCTTCTGATCATATTTCTGGTAATATTTTTTCTAATCTCCATAGTCCATGTTTTCTCCCTATGGTTACTTTAGCCAATGGTTTAAAAACAATGGTAAAAGTTTGGGACAAATTCGTCATCTTCCTTCCTTAACTCTTAATTCTGTTATTTACGTCCTTGGCTGTCCTTTATCAGTAAATTAGCTAGTTTTCTTAACTGTTCTATTGTTTTTAATTGTAACTTTGTTCTTGTACAGGACTGGGATGCGAGACAAACTATTGGCGAATTGCGTGAATTTCAGGGGTTATACCACTTTACATTGACGTCGTCTTAGGCTGCCTTTACATCTGTTGTTTTACCTTCTCTTCTCCAAAATCGGTTAGGTTATCCTAGCATCTCCAAACTTCAGAAGATGGTTCCTAGTTTGTCGGTCTTGAAATCTTTAGAGTGTGCGTCGTGTTAGCTTGGTAAACATGTTCGAAGTTCATTTTCCAAGCGAGTCAATAATTGGGTTGTGTCCCTTTTGAGTTAGTATATACAAACATTTGGGGTCCTAGTCGTGTTCTCACAATTTTTGATTATCAATATTTTGTGACATTTACTAATGATTTTTCTAGATATACTTGGTTGTTTTTAATAAAAGATCACGCTGAGATTTTTTCAATTTTTGAAACTTTTTGTGTTGAGATTTGTAATCAATTTCATACCTCTATTCACACTTTACAAAGTGAAAATGCGCATGCATATTTCTTTTTTTCTTTCACTTTTTTTATGTTTTTACGGGTATCCTTAATTATTCTTCATGTGCCCACACACCTCAGTAAAATGGTGTTGTTGAACGTAAGAATTAACACATGATTGAAACAACATGCACTTTACTTCTTCATAGTCACATTATTTTGCGTTTTTGGGGTGATGCTATCCTTATTACTTATTACTTAATCAGTTGTATGCCTTTTTTTGCCCTACAAAATCACACTCTAGTGTCTTTGTTATTTCTATTTGCTTCATTATATTCTCTTCCTCGTATTTTTTGTTGTATTTGTTTTGTTCATAATCTAACCCTTGAATAGGACAAACTTCAACCTAAATCTTTCAAATGCATCTTTCTTGGCTACTCTCGTCTTTAGAAAGGCGACCAATGTTATCATCTCAATAGTCATCGCTACATAATCTCCGTAAATGTTACTTTCTTTGAGGAGTCCTCATTTTACTCCTTTTCCACTGAGAGTTCATCTACTAGGTGTTCTTCCAGTTCATTTACTTGGACCACCTATTGAGACTACTCCATCTCATCCTCTCCAAACTTATCAACATTGATCGTGCCTTGACTTTTAGCTATTGTCCCTATGGATTTTTGCCCAGATCCAACGCTTTTACCGCCCTAGGTCCTTCCTCCTGATAGCCCTCCTATTGCTATTCATGAAGATAATTGCTCTACTCAAAATGGTCATCCTATTTATATCTTTTTGAGTTATCATTGTTTGTCTTTTCCCTATTTTGATTTTGTCACCTTGTTCTTTGTGGCTATTCCTAAAAGTATAGATGAGGCTTTATCACATCTTGGATGGCGACAGGCTATGATAGATGAAATGACAGATTTACATTCTAGTGGCACTGGGGGGAACTAGTTTCCTTTCCTTTAAGCAAGTCCACAATTGGGTGTTGATGGGTTTATGCTATAGGTTGGACTTGATGGTAAGATTGATCACTTGAAGACTTGTCTAATGGCCAAAGATTATACTTGGATTTATGGCGATACATTCTCACCAGTTTCCAAGATTGCCTCTGTTTGTCCTCTCCTTTACATGGTTGCAATGTGTCATTGATCTCTTTTTCAACTTGTTATCAAGAATGTTTTCTTACATGTTGAGCTCACGAAGAAGTTTATATGGAGCAACCTCCTAGATTTGTTGCTTAGGGGGAGTTTGACTTAGTATGTCGCCTACGCCAATCAATTTATGGCCTAAAACAATCTCCACAAGTATGGTTTGGACGATTCAGTTTAGTAGTTTAGCAATTTGGTATGATTCATTGTGAGGCAGATTATTTTGTTTTTTATCGCCATTCTTCACACTATAAGAGCATTTATCTTGTGATGTATGTAGATGATATTGTTATTACAGGAGATTATGAAGAAGGTATCAGTCAATGAAAACATCTCTTGTGCCATTTTCAGATCGAGGATTTGGGTCGACTTAAATATTTTCTTAGTATTGAGGTGGCTCAATCATCAATTGGTGTTACTATTTCTCAGCGAAAGTATGCTCTTGATATCTTGGAAGAGACTGACTCGACAGATTATTGACCTGTAGACATCTTTATGAATCCAAATATCAAACTCCTACCAAAACAAGGAAAGCCTTTATCAGATACTGGACGGTATCAGAGAGTTGTTGGAAAATTGAACTACCTTACCATCACTCAACTAAATATTTCCTTTGCTGTAAGTGTAGTCAATCAGTTTTTACAATTTCTATGTGATAATCATTGGGATGCTGCAATCCAAGTACTTAGATATATCAAGGGGGTGCTAGGCCAAGGACTTCTCTATGAAGACAAACATCATTATCAAATCATTGGCTACTCAGATGCCAATTGGGCCAGCTTGCCCTTCGATAGGTGATCAATCTCATGCTATTGCGTAATGTTTGAAGGCAACTTGATTTCTTGGAAGAGCAGAAAATAAGATATAGTTGTCAGGTTAAGTGTAGAAGTAGAATATCGTGCCATGGTATTGGCAACATGTGAACTTATATGGCTTAAACAATTACTTCAAAAATTGAACTTTGGAGATATTAAGCAAATGCAATTGATTTATGATAATCAAGTTGCCTTATACATTGCCTCTAATCCAATGTTTCATGGGAGGACCACACACAGAAAAGTGAACTGTCATTTTATTAGAGAAAAGATTTAGTCTGGATGTATTGCTACTAGTTTTGTCAATTCTAATGATTAATTAGTTGATGTATTCACTAAGTCTCTTAGGAGATCTCGAATTACATATATATATATATATATATATATGTAACAAGTTTGGTGCATATAACTTGTATGCCCCAGCTTGAGGAAGAGTGTAGAAATATGTGTATGGGTAGATTAGGAATATACGATAGGAATATATCGTATAGGAATATTTTCATTTATTTCATTTATTTTATTTTCTTATTTGTATATCTTTCAGTGTTATAAATACAAATTCAGATAATAGTGTACAATCACTGACTCATGCACACATATTAGAGTTTTCTATGATTCCCTTTTAATAGACTGATTCATAAGCAAGGTCTATACCCATGTAAAAGTCGTTTTACAATTATTCAGGTTTGCACAAATGATGTCAATTTTTGATGTTTGACACGCTTTATTGTTTAGGTGTATTTTTGTAGTAGTGATTTCTTTTTTTTTTTTTTTTTTTTTTTAAAGATTCTTTTAGATTATGCTAGTGGTAAGTTATGTTATAAGTGTAATTTTTTTTTTTCTCTTATGGGTATTGGAAAAACATGGTTTTAATTCTTCTGGCTGAACCTGACCCTGGACCTACCTTTTCCCCCTCCCCTGCCCCCTTTGTCATTTACAACTTACAAAAAAAAAAAAAAAAAAAAAAAAACTGAGCCCTTGGGGGATGAATCAATATCCTATTAAGGGGAATTATATTTCTTTTTCCAGTTATGGTATTCTAATTGACTTACATTTGCATTGCCCCTGCGTTAGCTTCGAGATCACTTATCAACAATGGAGTCTGATTTATTTATATCTATATGCTGATGGTCTCATGCCTTCATTACCCAAACTGCTTTAAAAAAAAAAATACCCTACCCCTTCAGGTTGAGCATTGGCTTAATGAACTTTGTGAAGAACTTTGCGAGCGTCTTCAATCTGACCTCAACCAGAATAAGCGAATTGCACACACACTTACTCTCCACGCTAGAGCATTCAAGGTAGCAATTTTTTTTTTCTTCTAACGTTTTTTTTCCTCCCCTGATATCTCTAATAAACTTCTCTACATCAAGCAATCCACATGTTTTCAATATCTTAATATTAAATGCCTGATTTCCAACATGTAGTTGTGTGGATTATGTCTTCCTGCAGGCTGGTGACTCCGAGTCACATAATAAATTTCCTTCTAAATCATGTCCGTTGAGATATGGTGCTGCGAAGATGAAGGAAGATGCTTTGTATCTATTTCAGGCTGGTTTGCGTGATTATCTTGGCTCCTGCAGAATCAAGATTCATGGTGGTCAACACAGTGGATGGAGAATAACTAGTCTTTCTGTTTCAGCTAGCAAAATAGTTCCTATACCTTCTGTAAGCTCTTATTGATTTTTCTCTCTTTTCTTTAAGCATTCTGCCAAATGCTTTGTTGAGGAACTTATTTGAACCTGCTGTTGGATATTGACGTAAGATCCTATGTTCCAATCATTGATAAGAACCAATAGTTTTTTATCTAATGAATCTCTGTTCTAGTACCCTGTCCTGAAGTTAACCATGCTGACTAACTATGAAGATCATACTTATCAACTGGTTAAAAGAAATTCTACTGACCTTGATAGAGAGAAATGCCACATTCTCATTAGAGCATGATTGTGTACATTTGACCTTCCTTAAAACCTCTGGTGGTAAGAGCCTTGCAAGTGGTGCTATCCTTTGACCTCCTAATTCTTGCAGATAGTAGGTACACATGGTACAGGATAATTTTGGTGACTTCAACTAAAGAATTGAACCAACCAGACTCTAAATTCTGTGTAACCATGCATGTGGCTATGTGCATAAACATCCAATGTATAATTTTTCACATTCTTGGTTAAATTTGTTTATGTAGTTCTCTATTTCCTCTTTTATTTTTTAGCGGCTGCACGAGATATATCAGTACATGCTGTCCTTATCTATTTACAAAGACTTAGTTTCTTTTATTATGTCCAATAGTGGTTTATGAAATTTTGGCAGGGAACATGTTCAATCATGAAATACTTTCGTGGCCAAGACCATTCCTGTTCATATAAGCAGATAAATGAATTTGTCTCTGAAGCTGCACCAATTTCACCCTCTGGTACTGTTTCCTTATTGGCTACTAAGTGCTTTTCATTTATTTTTACTTTGCTTTTCCATCCATTTTGATATTTTGCTCATGTAAGATATTCTGTAAGACATTCTTTCAGGAAATAAAAGCTGTTCTGGTTTATATACAACTAAAACATCCATTGAATTTAACAAAGATGAGAACAGCGGGCTTGCTGCAACAAGTTTGGATCAATTGGATGGCAACAGAGAAGAATTTATAGAAGAGGTTTGGATTTGTGATGCCTTATACCTTGTTGATTAGTTAATCTTTATGATGAATGCCTGTATGTCATTACAGTCAATCCAGTTTCATCGGTTAATACCATTAGATTTACCTTTCCTAGGTGTCAACAACCCACTAGTTAAATATGTAATCTGTTAGAAAGTGTTGTAGTTATTCATGGGTAAATTATATTTACCTCCCCTAAGGTTTATCCAAATAATGGGAACTGCCCCTGAAGTTCTGCAAATATTGGAGGCCTCTTTTTTTTAGAACTTTTATCTTTTAACTGACCTAACAGTGGATGTAAAATGACATTTAACCATTTTATGAATTATATTAAAACACATTTTTAACCATATGTTAATATTATAATAATACTATTAATCATTCTAAAACAAATATTTTAATCACTCATCATCATCATCACTACTGCAGGACAGAGCACCTTCATTGCCAGGCTCTACATATATTACTGTTTTATCTCTCCCTCTCTCCTCTCTCCTCTCTCCTTTGCTCATGTTTTTTTGGTTCTCTCCCTTTCCCAATCAGGACCGCAAGAGGTAGAAGCTGCAGAAGGCATTGTGTACTAATGTCACCATTTAATAGCATTGTCTTGCTTCACTCTGAAGGTCTCTATTTTCACATTCTAGGAATTTTTCCCTCTGCTTCCTTCTTCCTTGTTCTGTTTTCTGGTAAGTTTACTGGCCAAGATTTTCATTAGAGGTCTGTCTTGGGGAGAATGTTTTTAGTTTGCACATCTTTCTAATCCAGTTTTTGGATGTCTTCTCTGTTGGAAGTCATGTCTCTTTCTAGCTTCCTCAGGGAGGGATGCCTATTGAGGAGAAAAGACATTCTAATTCCTTCCAAATGCCCCAACATAACCCAAACATTGCTGTTGTATAAGCCTCACCTTTCTTCATTGTCTCTTACTCTGTTTATCTTCACTCAAGCTGTACACAATATGTTCTATATATGAGTCTTCCAACCAAACTTGAAAGTTACTGAGCCTAATCAAGTGCTTTGGTCTGTGATTTGGCTGCATGGGAAAAATATTATTAGCAAGTGGGAAAAGCACATTCATATGCTGTAAAGCCTTTAGATCTGAGCCCAAGACCTTCAGCTTTGATACCATTCAGTCGATAACCATTCTAAAAGCTCAAGTTTTCAGAAAGCAATGAGTGTTATACCTCAGAATTGTGTTTATGTTTTGAGCCAAGACATGATTTTCTGAACGAATAGATAATTGTGTAATTAACAAGATGAATGTATTTTAAAATTTATCACCTGTTGGAAGGATACAGAATTTTACCATTTGCTACACCTACCTGTGTAACAAATTCGAGAAGACTTGGATATTATACCTTTTTGTATGAACAAGATTCAGTGGCAATTTATAAGATGAACCTTGATTTTTCCTTTTCTCCTAGCAGAGTTTCAAGTTAATTTTTTCCTTCCGGCAAAAAGCTAAAATTTCAGAATCTTTAGGACCAGCCTAATATTAATTTTTGATTAGAACATAATGATTTTAGAAGACTTGGATATGGAACTGTTATGTTGAGCAAGATTCCTTTTGGTTCTTTGGAACCTAGGGGCAAGATTCATTTACAGTCAGCAGCAATTTTAAAATTTGGACCTTGATTTGTCCTTTTCTCCTTGCAGGTTGTAAATTTTTTATCTTTCTGGCAGAAATGCTAAAATTCCCTAAACCTTCACTTGACTACTACCCTTTAACTAGAGCAAATTTATTCATCAAATTAGGTGTACTGATGTTTATGAAAATACTAGGAAAGACAATCTACCAAATGAAATGCATGCACATGCAATCACACATAGAGAAAGAGAGAGGGAGACTGAGGGAACCACATTCTCATTTCTTCTCCACAAGCATGACCTAATGTGGAAGGGGCTTTCTCTATTTTCCTTTCATTTTTCCACTGGAGAGTGGATGTTTTCAAAAGCATGGCCTGTACTTCAGATACTTGTCTCGCCAACTGTTAGACACTTTTACCCATGTAGCCATTGAAATGCCACTGCTTCCTTCATAACTATGTGTCTATCTGCTTTAACTTCAGTAGGGAAAGAAAATCAAAGATTTCTTTTATTCTTGTGCTGTGTTATTCTTCTTAGTATTGTTAATATGTTACTTTATTTACGCTCAGATCTTAGTTTCAGTAACAGAGTCCTTGATTTTCCCCACAATGAATGGAGGCCCTAAAGTCATTTCTTGTGTTATAATCTTCAAAAGAAATAAATCATTGCCAGTAATTCAAAATTGAGCATAGGCTTATTATATGTAGTTCACCACATCATTTTTTTTCTTTTTGGTTTCGGTTGTTTCTTTCTTAATTTGATTGTTCTCTAAAAAACCACGTCTCTACTTCTTCATCTGCTAAATTTCGTATGTATGATCATCTTTAGACATGTTACATCTTAGCATGAAGGTAACTTGTATTACTGGGCACTTGAAGCTATAGAATTAGTAAATGTTCTGATTTGAACGTGTAGCATTTAGGCTGATAAAATCAGTTTAGTGTTCTTACGTAGTTGTATAATTTGTGAATGATTTTGCCTTCATGTAGAGTAAATGTGAAAGCACACAATCTGCTGGTCACCAGGATTCATCTAGTATGTTGTCCAAGCAGGGAAAAGTTGACTTTGCACCAGAAACTTCGGAAGTGTCATCGAAAGGTTATGATTTTTCTCCCAAGCTTTAGATCTGTCTATTCTAGTCTAGCTTTTTCTTAATTTTTTCTATCCCTTTCATATTTCTTTTCCTTTGCATAGAATTTGCAATGATTTGTTCATTCTGGGACTCGAAGCTGTTTGGTACTAAAACCAAATGATTCACTTGCAGATTCCCATGGGGAGAAACTTGGTATCAAGCGTTTGGCGCATGGTACAAGGTCTCATGAGCTGAAAAGGAAGAAGGAAAAAGATAAGGTTTGGAGAAATAGTTCTTTTTGTTGCACATGTTTATTTCTCTCTTCTAATATTACAAGTAGGCTGGCTGCTTAAAATGTCTGTTTATCTGTTTACAAATTTAAGAGAAAAGAAAAAAGAAAAGGAGGAGGGCGAGGAAGTTATCTTGCTATTGAGTATTTTACTCTTCATGCATTATGACTTGGCCCTTTTTGGTCATTATTCAATTTAAACTGCCCATAAGTTAGTCATAGGTTTTAGCAAGTTACTCCCCTTTTTTAAAAAGAGAAAATATTCTGGAAGTTGTTGCCTCCCATTCTTATCTCAGCCATCTTATTAGAGTGATGTTATTTTCCTTAACTATGATTTGTTTTATCTTTGAAAAAACTTTTTGAAATTGGTTTGGATGAAATTAACTGCTATTTAAATGCTTTAGCCAAAACATGAGCTTGCATAATATTAATATCTCAATTTAGCAAGTACTTGCAAAACCTTGAACGGATAATAATTGTGCCAGGATGCCTGAGCCAAAGATTCAAAATTGGGCAGAGTAGTCTCAAACTTTGAGCAATGGAAGTAAGTTTAAGAAGAAAATTCAGGCCATGGCCTCTGCTAGTTGGTGAGGTCGTTGAAAATTTTAAAATAGACATCCAAACTAAAACTTCAAAAAACATAGCCTTCTGTTTGTCCCTGAAAGACTTCAGCTTATATCTGGAGGGCATAGTTGACTTAGGTGATTTTGGTCTTTCTTGTACACAGTTTGTCAGTTGGTGAACAAAATCCTTTTGTATTTCTTTTTAGTTTCATCACAGGTCCTCTATTATTTTTCATCTGTGGCAGGGAACATCAACAATCTTGAGATTCTTTCAGAATTGCAGTAAGTATTCCTCTTCCCCTGAGGAAAAGCAAGGTAGGGCTGTTGATGAAACCAAAGCATCTTCATCCTCGGGTAATCCTCAGGCCACTTTTGAAGCCAAAAACTTGCCACCTCTCTCTCCCCCTCTTTCTGATACATTTTTTTTGGGTGCAGGCTTTCAGTCAATGAATAGCTGTTCTGAGTTAAATGAAGCTAAGGTATCGGAAGATAACATAATTTCGGAGACGGGGATACACAGTGGCAAATTAACTTTAGGTGAAGATGAAATGCAAAACGATGGATGGAGTTACAAGATTGATGAGATTGACCACTCTGTGATTTATGAGTTACCACCAGAAATCCAGCAAGAGGTGTTGGCTTGGTTACAGCCTCAAAAGCGAGCTAATATAGCCAAACGAGGTTCTACTATTGCTCAGTATTTCTTCCCCACTAAAAGTACATGATCAAGTTGAAAATATACCAAGTTAACCTGAGAACCATCATATACACAGCTTCTTAACTGATTGAGCATTTATTATTCATTTTCCTGTGGCCACTTTCTCCATTCATATGGAACTGGAGTCCTGAAAATCCAAAATCCCTTTAATCTGCAAGATTTATGTTTTTTGTATATATATTAGCACATCATATCTGTGTTTGCTGAACCATTAAAGTTGAATGTACAAGTTCTTTGGAAAACTAGTTCCATCTTGGGTTGGTGACTAGACTTTATAGCCATTATTGCTGTTGAATCCAAATTAGTCCAAATCTGTAATCTTGTAACTGTATATGATCTTTACCTCTCCGCTGGTCAGTGAATTTGTGTAAATTTGTTCTCATGTTATTTCGCTTATGCAGATCATCTTGAGGGAAGCCTCATTTTTGGGATCCTTCACTGGAAACTATAGTATAGTAAAATTTGATAGATCTTGTCCTATGGTTCTTTCTCTATTTTGACTCTTTTGACTTTTTGTTTCTTCTGCTATGTTGGTCTGGAAATCACAATGCCTCTGCAAGGTCAAGGCGATAAGTAAAATGCGGCCACGTGTATGAACTAAACGTGGTGTTGTGGATCCATTTCTTAGTTGGAGGAACCGCTCATGCCAATGAAAAAAAATATAAATAAATAAATTAATTAAAGTGTGAACGGTGGGGCAGCAACTAGAAGCGCACTGTTCAGCAATAGGCCCCTCCAGACTCTCCACGGCCCAACCCCCTCCAATTTTTAATGGCACGAGGCTGTCAAGACACGAGACGTCTCCATGACAACGTAGAATGAAGACGCGTGGCCTCATTGCTCAGCAGAGTTTAAATGAATAGCCACTAACAGCACTCACTCGAGGACAGAGCTGCCTCTTAGGCCTTTTTTCTTTTTCTCTTTTGGTAATTTTGATATTTTCTTTTTTGGTAAGTGCCTGTATGTGGAAGTTTGCTTTCAGTAGTTTTTAATTTTTAATTATAAAAAAAAAAGATCTTGCCTTTTAGAATTTGTGCTCTTGAACTATTTTTTTTCTAAACTATAGTAAAAAATAAAGTCAAAATCTAAAAGTATTCAAATTCCTATTTCTTATAGGAAATGGCATAACTATAAACAATTTTTTTTTTTTTACATTTTGAGCAAAATTTACAAATATTTTTAATTTCTATATTTTTAATTTTTATAACTATTTATAAAATTTATCATTTCTTTGAAGTAATCACTCTCTCTAAGATGTTTTTGGGCGGCTGGATCCCTTGCATTTTTATTTGAGAAATTAGGGTTATTTTAATTTTATTTGTTTAGGATGGTTTAAAAGAAAATGCTATTTAAACTTAAAACATTTTAATGTTTATTTGAGGAAGTAGTTATATGTTCAAATAAAATATTTATTTTAAAAAATAGCAAATACTTAATTGAATAGGAGAGTGCTTTAAATGATAACAAGAAAAGATAAAAAAAATTTAAAGAAAGTTTTACTTATTTATTATTCAGATCTGGACCAAATTTTAAAACATAAATAAGAATTTAAAATAAAATTAAATAAAGCTTATGTTTAATTCTACAAATATAACACCGCAGGTCTAAAGTAGATTTTAAAAATTGGAACCATTATATTTTTTGAGATCATAAAATCAAATTGGTAGGATCAAATTGATATTATTAATATTTTACTAAATGCAAAAATTAAAATTAAAAATTTATAAAATAAGATAAGTACTCATAAATTATTCGATTCACAATTCACAATCAGCATAATAATTCACAATAGTTCAATAATCAATCACATTTTGGTATTAAATTATTTCAATGGTTCGATGCTAGACGGTCTACACCTCAGCTTCTGGTTGTGGTTTGGGTTTGGCTCGGATTCTGGTTGGGAGAGCTCCGCATTTTCCTCTTCTGATTACAAGGAACGCTCTACGTTTTGATTCCATGGAATTTGTACTCTCCAGATTCAAGTACTCATCCTTTTTTTTTTATGGTCTTGGGCCTTGAACCCGTTGTGTAATAAAAAAATAATTGCATAATTCCCCCAGTTGTGGTGGCCCAGATGTTGTGGCTCACTAAACAGTCCAACCACCGTCAACCATTATGGCCCACTAGTACCCTCGAAAAAGCCCAGTATAGTAAAACAAAGCCCAGAGTTAATGCCTGCATCGTGTAGACTCGTATCTGACACGGACATCTCTACACTTTTACAAACAATTCGGGTCGATTTTACAAATCTGGACGGGAGGATCCTATGATCCGGATCGTGATTTTGACAACAGAGTTTGAATTTGAACTAGTCGGAAGCCGTCTGATCTCGGTTCTGCGCTCTTTGATAAACGTCCGCCGTCACCTGACATCCGACTACATCGCAAAACTTTCTCAAGCGGAAAGTTTCCATAGTCCAAACGACATTCTTGCTCTTCCTATTTAATTGCAGGCCCGTATTTCACCATTCACCGTGTACAAAGTAAGTTTTTGATTTTTCTTTATGGACCAACCTGTAATTTCGCTTATCTACTGTTCGATGAAATTCCTCTTTGGGTATTGTATAAAAACCGAGCATATACTTTTATGTTTCAGACAAGCTGAATATGTGGTATTCCTACTCTGCACTTATTCATATTTTGCGAGCTACGCAAAATTACAACTGCTTATGGTTTATGTTAACAGAAATTTATGCCATCATCATCTTATTGGTAGCTTCATTTTCTTATAGTTCCTAATTTTATTTTCTTATTATTCATGCCTGCTAAAATATCAGATATACTCCTTCTGGGACGTTCTGTTACTGTGGACTTCCAAAATTAGATTTAGTTTTATAGATTTTCTCGCTAAAGGGTTTTAATAATTCAATATCCTTGAATCTGGAGAGATGCTGAGGCTGTATAAATTGCTAGTTGTTGTTTTAAAATTTCTTGTAATTTAACCACCTGATGTTTTTCTTGATGTTGCTGTCCTTCACTCCACCTCCTTGTCTTTGTTTATTTGCTTATTTTTTTCTAGAATTCTGTAGTTCCTTCTCTGTGCAATGCATTGTCCAGAAATGTGGTTTTATCTTTTATCCGTTATTTTTTAAAATATTTTAACCATATAACTTTTGCTGCAGCATTGATTTTCCTTGGTGTTGGCTAACTAATTAGAAGCAAGTATAGCAATGGAAAAAGAACAGGAAGACCAGCTTGCAAGTTTGCTCAGTGTTCTTCCCCCTGTGGAGTTCTGCTGTGTTTATGGCTCATCTCTCCACCCAAATAATGCAGATAAGGTTGGCCTATTATGTTTATCCTTCTTTTTGAATCTTTGATTAAGTTTCTTTTGCCTTGGTGTCAAGATTAATTAGCTTGCTTCCATTTTCAACTCTTGCATTTTACCCACCTGCTTTTTGTTCTTCTCTTTTCTTCTCATTCTTATCTTCTTGTCTTTTTAGTCATCAATGGTTGATTACATTCTTGGTGTGTCAGATCCTCTGAAGTGGCATACTGAGGCAAGTTGTAAACTGCTATACCTTCCATTTTCTTTGTATGTTCTCGATGCTTCATGTTGTTCCTCTTCTGCAGAGAGGAGGCGATAATTCAGTTCAATTCTAATTTTTCTTTCTTTCTTTCTTTCTTTTTTTTTTCCACAACCAAGAATTTGGAAATGAACCCGGACCACTATGCTTCATGGATGGTACAACTTAAGGGTGCAAAGCTGGTGACTTTCTCTCTTTTCCTCCTCCATCTCTGGAAGCTTCTTTCCTTTATTCATTTATTTTTCCCTCCTTGGTGGTTTATTAGTTAAAAAAAATACTGATTCGTGTATTAATTAATTGGTGTAATGGTTTTATATTTGTATGATCACGTCAGATTACTCAAGTTGCTGATGAAATTGGTGTAGGTGTACACTTCAACCCATTTGTTACTTGGAAGGACAAGGTATTAAACAATCCAACCATTTCTTATCAGTACATACATGCATGGGCACACTCATAACCATCCTGCTGCACACACATTAATTCTCACTTTTGAATTTGTTGATAGATGTTCAAGTATGGAGTTGTCCGAATGGATGACTTGATTAGAGATCTACTAAATTGGGAAAAATTCTACCTGAGTGGTCGTCTACAAAAACCTGTATGTCTTCTGCATAAGTGCTTTCATTTGCTGTTACTCACTCTTCTATTTGTTTGCTCTCATTTATCTGCATTTCCCTCCTTTCTGTAACGATTGAAGCAAATGTGTCTGGATTGGCTATGAGCTGATCACTGATTCTGTATTATGCAACCTTGTGAATTTCAAGAGGTATGCACATATGCTTCGGTTTATAATGAACGAGCATGATTAGAAGGGCAATTAGCAGAGCCTGTATCATTCAGGCCGGTGTCCCCTGTTGTGCATTGGAATGGAATCAGAACAAATATGCCTTTAGACACGAGGCAATCCTTAAATTTCTAATTTTTCCTGAAATAGAGGCATCTTAAATCTTCTTCTTTTTACTCTCTAGGTTCATATTCTTGTGGATAACTTGGACATTGGAAATTTAAACTCTGTTAATCTGAGGGCTGCAATATCTGCTGCTTTACTACTTTCACCGTCCAAATTCTCTGAGGTTTGCCCACTATTCTCAATGGTAACAGGGCTGTCATTTTCATTTTCTTTTTCTTTTTGTGATAACTTTTTGCACATCTTTGATATCTTTTACAGGAACACCTATATGCCAAGATATGTAGTCTCTCGTACATGGGTGACTTGCGTATGCTTTTTGCAGAGGACAAAAATAAGGTGTATATTCTGATTTTTTTTAATCCATATAACTTCACAGATTTTATTGTTGAGATGCTTATAGATTAATCACAGCTTGCATAGACCAAGTAAGGAGGCTAGCTTTTGAAATTCTGATTTTTGGTTTTCCAGAGGTAAAAACAATGGGAGGCAGATTGCTTTCATTTCTGGAAAGTAGAAGGATGAACTGGTAAATTGCAGATAAAGAAGACACCCCAACCAAAAGCTTCGTTTGCACCAATACTATAACTATAATAGTAACAAGTGAAGTGCAATAATTACTTCATGTATTTATGCATATATAATTAAAACATCAAAAACTAAGAATCCTATTCATATATAACTAGCAAAATAAGAAATATTAATGCTGATTATATTGACAAAAAGTTATGTTGTGATTGAAAAATGTTACACAAATTTTTCTAAGAAAAAATTACTTAGGTTGGGACATCCATTTTATATCAAGTGTTATTTTGTTTTAGTCCAGAAATCTTCAAGTATTATATATTTTGTAAGCTATTTAAATTAATATAATAATTCCTTGGATGTCCTCTGTCACAAAAAGAGTCACGTGGCTCAAATATGAAAATAGTTATACAATTTAATTACCTCTTCTTTTCCCTAGATAAAGTAATGACTTTACTTTCTAAAGTCATGAAATCTATAATATTATCCTGAATTAAATAATAAATAAAAAATGAATAAAATAATATAGATATCAATGTAAACAGTAAAATGCATTTATGTATTTATGTGTAGATAGAGTAAATATCATGGAAATAATTGAATTTTATTTAATCTAACTAAATAAATATGAGGTTAATAGATGGCCATGCATTGCGGGTGTTCAACTCCTAATCAATGTGGATGTGTAATTGCAAAGATTATATCATCTATAGTCATAAATATTGTATTAGGTAATATGCTTAGGCACTTAATGCCACACACAGGTGAATTAAAAAAAAAAAAAAAAAAAGAGAGAGAGAGAGAGAGAGAGAGAGAGAGAAGGTTGCTTGTATCTCCTTGGACCATTTCTTGCATAAAATAATTCTAATCAAACCAAGGGACTTGATTATATGAAATATAATAGTTACTGGTCCCATGGAGGACCTTCTAATATATTAGTTCTACAGCTATCTTTTCTGTTTGTCATTCACATTGCCTGTTACAGGTGAAGAAGATTGTGCAGGGGCAATTTGGGTTATTCCGAATAATGTACAAGCCATTTCTAGATGAATATGCAACCAAGGATTTGTTGAGATTCTCATCATCTGGTGGTCACCAATTAAATTTTTCCCAGGTTTGTTTGGTTAGTTAATTGAAGAGATAGCTGGATGTTTCTTTCTCAGGTTTGTCTGGATAGTTCTTGGCCAACTTATCATACCAAAGCTGATTTTCTCAATTCCTTCTTAATTGGCTTGATAAGTTGGCCATGTATTATAGTGCATTTTCTTTTCTTCTAATATACACATTATTCAAAACAATGCTGACAAGAACATCAGTATCCTATGATTCATCTTACAGGATATTCAGCTAGAGTTCAGTTGATATGAGAAATCACTTTCTAGTGAAATTACATTGGGAACAATGGAGTGATGGATGGTCGATGATAGGTCCCAATAGTGGTGGGGGAGGGGGTAGGATGACTGGTTGTGTGTTTTGTTAACTGTTTAACAGAGCTAAGATAGAGGGGCCTATTTGAATAGTTTTGAAGGTTGAGCTGGTGAATGTGTGTTAGTTGTAGGGGCGTGTATCTGAAATTTTCCATTTTTCCCTATGCCTGGGAGATGCAATAATTATTTTGTTTAGTGCGCAGGCTTAAGTAATCCCAAATAATGCAACCCTATAATATTCAAATTTTATTTGGACCTTTAACTTCATTGCCAAACTTGGTTTGAAAATGTCTAATGCATTCTCTCAACCCCAGGATTGTGGATTATCTGCAGCTTCCTCCCTTGTATCACGTCTTCCTCCTACTGTCAGAAGCGAGATGGGGTTGAAGTTAGGAGAGACGAGACAAATAAACGAATCTGGTATAGTCTTAAATAACTACTTCCAGAGAACGTGCTATACAGGTGGTTTTGACGTATTTTAACATTGATAGATTTAACATATTTTCACAAGTATCAAAATAAATCATATCTATTTGGATGATCGAATCAAATAGAAAAAATAAATAAATACTGTTGTATTGCTTATCAATGACCATTGATTTTAGATCCCCATGATACCCAGAAGTTTTCGTGTGTAATTTATAAGGGGCATGATAAGATTACTGTATGTTTATGAAATTGGGATTTTGTTCATATGTACTAAATTTGAAAGTAGTTAAACTTTCTTTTATTTATATTAATTACCAATCTTATTAGTTTAGTGAAAATAAGGGTTTTGTGAGAGTTTTTTTTTTTTTTTTTTAAAAGAAAAAAAGAATTATAGAAAAATTAGCTTTTGAGTTTTTGCCAGTTGACAGCTCTTTACTAGAGGACCTTTACCAAAGGGTTTTTCTAACAAAAATAGGAATCTCTTGAATTTACAAATTATAAATTTTAATTTATATTATACTATAAAGTTCATCATCATTATTATGGAATAAATTAAATTTTAGATGGAAGTGGATTATCAAAGAGATTTAGATATAGCTGTCTTTAATGGAAGTGTTAGAAGAATGCCAGAAAACTCTCTTTCAAAGGACTCTTAAAAAGGTTCTAACAGAAAGGACTCCTTTACTATGTGGATTTAAAGGATGTTAATTTTGTCATAGAAATTACAATTAAAGTTGTTAAATCGTGAATCGTTTTTGTATTTTATGAATCGTGAATCGTATCGTATTGTATCGTAGGATTCAAAAACACATAATAAAAATACTTTAAAATACATAATTACACACTTAAAACATGAATAAGATACTTTCAAAAGTATCAAAATACTAAAATATCATAATGTCATATACAAAACATGTCACATTGATGCAAAAAGATTCACTTTGAGTACAATTTAATAATTGGATAATCTATATATCTTCGTTCTCTTCTCCTTCAAGGTCAATATCATCAATTTGTGAATCATTATCAACCATAACCAAGTCTGCATCCTCATGATCTCTAGTTTCACCACCATCATCTCCACCATCTTCAACTTCACAAGCAACTTGTATGGGTTTTTTTCCTTTGTCCCTTTTTCCCATTGCATTAAGGTTTCTTGGTCCTAAACATAAAATACATGAAATATAATATAATATCAGAAATTATTTAAGAATTTAGATAATTAGATAAGAATAATTTTTAAGATAACATACCTCTTTTTCTTTTTTTACTTGGAGCTCCTTCATCAATATTAAAGCACTCTTGGATATCCATCCAAGAGTTATCTACTTCTTGCTCTAAATCCATTAGACAAGGCTCCTCCTTTTCTGTGATCCATTCATCATCGGATTCCATATCCGAAAGGCAAATTGGATCATATGTTTCTCCTTTCTCCTCTCTTATCTTTTGCCTTGATTGAAGATTAAGATTATACTTGACAAACACAAGAGCATTCAATTTTTGTTGCTCTAAACGGTTTCTTTTCTTAGAATGGATATGCTCAAAAACACTCCAATTTCTTTCACATCCTGTTGCACTACATGTGAGACTTAAAACACATATAGCAAAAGTTTGAACCTCTTTGCACTATGCTCCAAAATTACTCTACCATATAGCTAACAAGAAAAATAATACAATAAATAAGAAATTTTTTATACTAGCAAATACATAATACAAAAGAAATAAAGAGTATAAGTATAGCAAGAAAGTATACCAGACTGCATCTTGTCTCTAGTTCCTATTTCTAAATCATACCCAAACATCCCTTCTGCATTGTGAAACTTATCAAGTTGGGCAATAATACTTATTCTTGTCTTGATATCTGGCGCTAATCTATCCATAGCTGTGTACAAGCCAGTCATCACCTCAACATCCGCAGTGAAATTTTTTTCATAATGGAACCTACAAAATTATATATAATAAAGGATAAACTTTAATTATTTTAGGATTAAAATAAATATAATAAAGAAATATTACCTTGGATTTAAATAGTATCCAGCTTCATGAAGAGGCCTATAGAGTTGATATTCCCAACGTTGGTCTATGAGCTCCCACACTTTTTTATATCTACTCTTCACTTGTTGAAAATTTTTAGCTATTTGCTCCTTTGCTCTATCCATAGCTTCATAGATGTAACCCATAGATGGCTTCAAATCACCATCCACAAGTCTAAGAACTTTTACAAGTGGAGAGACACAAGTGCAACAATAAGTTAAGGATTTTCAAAATCTTGAATCCTCCAAAATGATCTCTCTTGCTTTTACACCATCAACTCCAGAAGCATAGGAATGTGTAGCCCATTCTTCTGATGCAAACATAGATTGGAGAGCTATCTTTTGATCCAAAATTGATTTCAATGTAAGATATGAGGTAGCAAATCTAGTTACTGCTGGTCTTGTTAACTCTCTCCCATTAGAAAATGTTCTATACAAGTTAAGCACCCAAGTATGTCTATAAATGAAAATTGTAATCTTCTTGGCTTTTTCAATAGTATTATAGAATACTGGAATCTTACCAATATCTTCAAGAATCAAATCAAGACAATGAGCTGCACAAGGTGTCCAAAATAAATGTTTTCTTTTCTCCATTAACTTGTTTCCAGCAGCAACAAGAGCAGAGGCACTATCTGTTATCACTTGAACTACATTTTCCTCTCCAATCTCATCAACCATATTATCAAGTAATTCAAATATTTTTTCAGAATCCTTGATGAACTTGCTAGTATCAATAGATTTAATAAAAACAGTTCCTTTTGGACTATTAACCAAAAAATTAATTAAAGATCTATTCTTTCCATCCATCCATCCATCTGACATCAAGGTACAACCTGTTTTCTTCCACTCACTCATGTAAATATCCAAATTGGCATGTATTTCATCAACTTCTTTCTTTAAATATGTGACTCTAACCTCATGATAACTTGGAGGTTTCAAACCTCTCCTAAATTCAGAAATTGACTTTACCATTTGAATGAATAAAGAGCTCTTAACCAAATTAAATGGCAATGCATTGCCATAAATACATCGGCATATATCTCTTGCAACCATTTCCCTATCTTTTACCATCTCATTCAAAGTTTGTTGTCTACCCATAGCACTAGTTGCTCCTTTCCCTCTCACAACAAATGCATCCATTCCTTTTCTTTGTGAACCATCATTAAGGGTGCTAGTCTCTTGAAAAAGTTCATTAAATTCATCATCCTTCTTTTCCGGTCCTCTAGCATCTTCTTAAAAACATTTTTAATATCTTCCAGAACTTGAATACATGGAGCAACTTGATGGTGTGTTCCCACTAAATGGTGTTTCATTCTAAATGCACCACCCCACATTATTTGTGAACAATAATTACATTTAATATGTAACCTATTTTCAAGAGCAACACAATGATCCCAAGTAATATCTTTTTTTACCATATTGTTTTTAATTTTAGCTTTAGATGCCATAATAATCAAGTCAAACAATTCAGTCAAACACTTCAAGCACCCAGTTAAGCCAAACAGAATTTCAGTTCAAATCAAACCAAGCACTTCAAACCAGAAGCTCACAGAGAAACAGGTCTGTAGTTCAAATTAAACCAAGCACCTCACAGAAAAACAGAACTTTAGTTCAACTTAAATCAAGCAGCTTACAGAAAAACCGAGTTTGACAGCAGAGAAGCTTTGGGTGACAGCAGCTCACTGTGAGAGAAGCTTCAGGTTTGACAGCAGAGAAGCTTCGGGTGACAGCAGAGAAGCTATGACAGAAGCTTCGGGTTTGACAGCAGAGAAAGAAGCTGTCAAACGATGTCAAACCATCATCTCCAGCATCGTCTCCACCACGCGACCCAGAAGCTGGAGCTAGGAGAGAAACATGACGTCGAACCAGAAGCTGTCAAACGATGTCGAACCAGAAGATGGAGCGAGAAGCTGGAAGCCGTCGAACCCGAAGCTGTCAAACGTGAACCAGGCGAACCAGAAGCTGGTAGATGATTTCGATGAAGCTGGAAGCCTCGAACCAGAAGCTGTAAGCTGTTGAACCAGAAGCTGGGAGATGATTTCGATGAAGCTGAACCAGGCGACTGGCACACAAGAGGGTTTCGATGAAACATAACGATCGATTCGAGGCAGAAGCAGAAACGGAAAGTCAAATTGTACAACTCTCCCTTCCTCGTTTACATTCCCTTTCTGTTTTCATGCAAGAAAACATGGCTTCGAATCGTGCGATTCGACTCGTTGATACGAATCGCACCGATTCAGTGCGATTCAACTCCGATTCTCCTTGACGAAGGATTCTCCCACCGATACGTATCGGTGGGAGTCCAAATCGATACGAATCGTGCGATTCGTATCGCGAATCGCACGATTCTAACAACCATGATTACAATAACTAAAAGTAGTCTTGTATTGAAAAGAAAGCCAAACACTTTTGGTTCAATGTACTGTTATATAAGTTGTAGAATATTTCATAATCCATACATTATGGACTGTAGATTATAGATGAAGAACAAAGTAAGGCCTAACAATCATTTGGTACTTTGTGATATTATAATAGCCCATGTTCTGATTATGAAACTACTGTGGATATATTTCTTCAAATTTTATATTTGGAATTCATTGGCAGAAGTCTAAAAGAGCATTGATGCCAGGAGTTCATTAAGCTGTGAGATAGTTGCTCATGGTTATGGAGTTATGATAAGAGCAGGTGATTTTCAGTTATTTGATTTTGCCTTATTGTAGGAAAAGTTAAGCGCGAAGTTGTGATTGGTTCAAGAGAGGAAGCAGCAGAATGCATGAGGAAGATTGTGAGGCGCAGGGTTATGGTTTCAAGTGCGAGGCAAGCTGTAGCTGGTCTACTTACGGTTGGTGCCATTAATGGAGTTAAATATCTTGCAAATAAAATGTGCAAGGCTTGGAAATCCTAGCTATAACTTTTCAGGTATTTCACATGTTTCCCTTTCCTCTGAGATTTCCCAGATGCAGCTGTCAGACTAAACGCCAAAAACTTGGCTTGAAATCAATTTCTACAGTTTTTTCAGGTAGTTGTTGAGCAGTTTTGGGTGAATACACTTTAAAAATGTCACAGGATTTTTCGGGTAGTTGTAGAGCAGGTGTGGGTGAATATACTTTAAAAATGTAAGAGGATACTGGCCAAATGTTGGCATTATATTACTATACACATTCTTTTTAGTTACAAATTATTTTTTTGAATGAGTGCCATTGTTTGGTTTTCCTTGTACCCTGTACTATAGGAGTAAAGGTAAATGGTAAAGTAAAAAATGAGAAGGGGGGAACAAGTAAGAATACTGAGATTTCAGAGTATAATACCCATATTTCTAGTTTGGTTGTTGTTGTAATTAGTTTATTATGTTTTATTTTGTCTAAAGTTCGTTAACTGCTGTAGTAAATAAAAAATCATTTGTGGGGATAGAAAAATGGAATAGATAGATCAAGGTTGGCTGCCAATGGCTACAAGTGAGAACGATAGCCCAGCAGCCTGGGGGTGGGGGTGGGCGTGGGCGTGGGTCCATACCTTTCATTGTAACGATATCAGGACTCCATAATTCTGTGATATACAATCTTCGTGCAAACGTGGGCGATAGAGATCTCTGCCATGCCCATGAGAGAGGAGAAGAAAATGAGGGCATGTTTGGTTTTCTTGTTTTCTATTTATATTTTTTTATAAAAATAAAAAATAAAGTTAAAAATGCATTTAATTTATATATTTTTATTTGGTTGTTGTTTTTGTTGTAATTAGTTTATTTTGTTTTATTTTGTCTGAAGTTCGTTAATTGCTGTAGTAAATAAAAAGTCATTTGTGGGGATAGAAAAATGGAATAGATAAATCAAGGTTGGCTGCCAATGGCTACAAGTGAGAATGATAACCCAGTGGCCTAGGGCGTGGGCCTGGGGGTGGGGGTGGGCGTGGGTCCAAAACTTTCGTTGTAACGTTATCAGGACTCCATAGTTATATGATACACAGTCTTCGTGCAAACGTGGGCCATAGAGATCTCTGCCATGCCCACGAGAGAGGAGAAGAAAATGAGGGCATGTTTGGTTTTCTTGTTTCCTATTTTTATTTTTTTATAAAAATAAAAAATAAAGTTAAAAATGCATTTAATTTATATATTTTTATTTTTATTGAAATTTTTTTTATTAAAAGTGAGCTAAAAATTATAAAAAGTTATTTTCATTGTTTTCTTTAAAAAATTTTGAAAATAGAGAACATATACTTAAAATTTGAAACTATTTCTTAAAAATAGGAAATATTAAAATCACACCAAACATGTTTCCTAAAATTGGAAAATCTGAAAAAGAAAACAAGAAATGAAAATAGAAAACATTTCCTAAAAAAAAATAGGCCCTAAGGTTTTAGGGGTGGCTGGATTGAATCTAGCTTATTAATCCTAGCCTAAAGTTAAAATTGTTGCTTATAATAATTGATATAATTTATTAAGCTTTGTTTTATCCAATTTGCCAGACATGCTGCTTGGACACGACTGTATTAATACTCATAAAATCCATCCATTAACACTGACAAAATCCTGTTCGCCATCCCCCGATTATAGATTTTCATTTATTGTTTAGGAAGAAGAGCACGAAATTGCATTCGCGCAAGCAACAGAATGGTCACATGGCAGCTCGCGGATAGGGAGTGTTTGACTGGATCAAATACTCCGGTTCGTTATGTGCTGTTTGGCTGACTGGACAAAAGAGGAGAGTTTGCTTTTTCAAATTATGTAAATATAATATTTGACGATCATGGATTAGTTATGTAATGGAGAAAGGAAAGAGGAAACTAGATTTAGTTAAAATAAAATTTAGTTTATATTGTTTTATTTTATCCTAAAAGCAAAAAAAAAAAAAAAAGAAAGATACCCATAATCAATTTATGAGATCTCTTCATTTAAATTACTATTAAGAGAGGTGTCACCTTCTCTAGATATTTTAGATATAAATTAAAATTTATGTTTATAATAAAATATCTTGTCTTTTTTAACCCAAAAGTCTACGAAGTCCGATAAAAATATCAGTAACAAATCTACTTTTAGTCCGAATCTACTAGCGGTATTTTAAAAATCAAACAATTTGATTGGATGAGATCACTGCAATACGTCGGACTTTTGTCTCCCGCTCGTCTTCCAACTAAAAGTCCAAGGAGCTATCCCCGACAATAATCGGAGTGTGGCCTTTTTGTTCCGTAGCGTTGGATTAACCAACGGATGAAGTTGGGTTCACCGGATATAAATATCGAAATTTATTTTAAAAAACTTTAATTGAAAATAATAAAAAATTCCTAAATTATTTACTTTAAAATAGGATTTTCGAAATTGAGTAAAATTAAAAAAAAGGATTGTGCAATAGAGAGGCCCAATCCGTCCTCAAGCTTATAGCAACTTGCCTCGGTGGCTGCCAAGATGAATACAAGGACGTCTCCCTCACCAGTCATCCTTCCCAATTCCAGCTGTCAATCTCTGACATTCAATCAGGCTAATTAAATTAATTAACGTATTAATGAAAAAAATAATCAGCCTTATACGTGGTTTGAAATTATTTTCCATATAAAATGGAATCCATGTCTCCCCTTTGTAAAAATAAAAATCTAACAAGGCAGTGCTTGGCGTAAGAATTCTGAATTTTTCTTGGGAGGATGTAGATTTGTTTTTTCTATTTATAAATATTAAGGATTTAAATTTTAGATTTTTATAGATATTTGGTTTCTCTAGAATTTGAAAGATAATAGATTTTGAAAATTTTGATTTAAAACTTATTATAAAACTTGAATTTAAAATTTTTGGGATTTAATCTGTCAAGCTTTTATCATATATAATAAACTAAATTCCTCAAAAAAACTTTGAACTAAATTCCTCGTAAAAACCACTTCCTTGGATGCATGGCAAGTGAGTGAACCAAACAGGAACAAGTTACTCCAGCATAAGTCGTGTCTAAGTTCACCAAACTGAATGCATGAGATATGTATATATTGTATTATTTATCAAGTTGGAGGAATCCACAAGCCAAATGATTTATAAATTCAGAAGTAGTAGAAGCAAAAACTCCATTTTGGGTTGTGAGAGGAGTGTGTTTGTTGAAAGACATACATCTGGCATTCTGTAGCGACAAGCAGCTATATGGTTTGGGGTTTGGTTTGATTATAATTAATCCACAAACAAGTGTGAAAGTGTTTTAGCTCCTGGGTATGGGTTCAGAGGTAGGAGGAGATATAGGAGATGAGATGCAGCGGCAAGCAAGAAGAAGCTACTGGAGATGGAGCAAACAGGACTTCTTCCCAGAAGAATCATTCAAAAACTGGGCAACATACCGATACGCACTCTCCCAGACGCCATTCCGCTTCAAGGACCGTCTCCTCGCCCGATCTGACGACGCCAGCGAGCTTGGAGAGCTCCGTAAACAAAGCGAAAACGATATGAAAAGGTGCCTCAACTGGTGGGATCTCACCTGGTTCGGCTTTGGCTCTGTCATAGGCGCCGGCATCTTTGTCCTCACCGGGCAAGAAGCCCACAACCACGCCGGACCTGCCATCGTTTTGTCTTATGTAGCCTCTGGCCTCTCCGCCATGCTTTCCGTTTTCTGCTACACTGAATTTGCCGTTGAGATTCCAGTCGCCGGTGGTTCTTTTGCTTACCTCAGAGTTGAACTTGGCGACTTCATGGCTTTCATCACTGCTGCTAATATTCTTCTGGAAAGCATCGTGGGAAGTGCTGCTGTGGCCAGATCTTGGACTTCTTACTTTGCTACTCTTCTCAACCGTCCCTCCAACTCGCTCCGTATTCATACAAATCTGAGGAAAGGGTACAACCTCCTGGATCCAATTGCGGTGGTGGTTCTCGCAATTGCAGCCATCATTGCCATGATCAGCACCAGGAAAACTTCTTACCTTAACTGGATTGCCTCTGCTGTCAACACCCTTGTCATTTTCTTTGTCATAGTAGCTGGCTTTCTCCACGCCAACACCTCCAACCTCTCTCCTTTTCTTCCCCACGGCGCCAAAGGGATATTCCAGGCAGCAGCAGTTGTCTACTTTGCTTATGGAGGATTTGACAATATTGCCACCATGGCAGAGGAAACTCGGAACCCATCAAGAGATATACCTCTTGGATTGCTAGGCTCCATGTCTATTATCACCGTCATATATTGTTTTGATGGCGCTTTCTTTGAGTATGATGCAGAAGTATACAGACATTGACACAAATGCAGCCTACTCTGTTGCGTTCCAGAGTGTGGGGATGAAGTGGGCAAAGTACCTGGTGGCACTTGGAGCTCTCAAAGGGATGACCACTGTTCTTCTCGTGGGGCACTTGGCCAGGCTCGCTATACCACTCATATTGCACGTGCCCACATGATTCCACCTTGGTTCTCCCTCGTCCACCCAAAGACGGGCACCCCTGTCAACGCCACTCTCCTAATTGCCCTTTGCAGCGCCTGTATTGCTTTCTTTTCCAGCTTAGATGTTTTGGCCACTTTGCTATCAGTGAGCACCCTCTTCATCTTCATGATGATGTCGGTCGCGCTTCTTGTGAGGAGATATTATGTGAAGGGAGTGACTCCTCAATCAAATCTACTGAAGCTGGTAATCTTGTTGCTAATAATTATTTCTTCGTCGATGGGGACATCGGCGTACTGGGGACTGAGCCCGAATGGATGGGTAGGATACACAATCACCATTCCGATGTGGTTGATAGGGACAAGTGGCATAGCATTTCTTTTGCCACAGCAGAGGACGCCTAAGGTGTGGGGAGTTCCGCTTGTGCCGTGGTTACCATCATTGTCCATCGCAACCAATTTGTTTCTGATGGGATCTTTAGGATATGAAGCTTTTGTGAGGTTTGGCATCTGCACCCTTGTTATGATGCTATACTACTTGCTTTTCGGCCTTCATGCTACCTTTGATATGGCCCATCAACAATCCAAGCTCCGATCCATGGAGACGATGGTCACGAATGCTAGCACTACTGAGGCAGACACCATGGAAAAGACAGGGCCATGAAAAAGAAAATAAAGGAAGAAGAAAGAAATTTTAAATGGATTGATTCCCCGTCTGGCACGAGGATTGAATTTAAGCGTTGCACTACGTGCTGCAATCTTTTAATTAGCATATCGATTTCTCATTATAGTAGCTGTGAAATGAAACATCTTTCAAAGTAGCAGCAATAATTTGGGTTTCTTTTCTCTCTTCTTCCTCCTTTAGATAGAGAAGTAATAGATGAAAGTGGGTACCCGGGCCGTAAGGTAAGGAGATGGTCATATGCAGTCTTTACCTCTCCTCTACCTAGAGGCTGTTCCCGCAGATCAAATGTGAGACCCTCTCATCCATACCGTGGATTAATTGATGTATAAAATGATATATCAAGTTATTATGTCCAACATATTTACTCGATGGAAAAGCATCGATCATTGATGATTATTGATTGATACTTCCCAAGTTCCACCTAGTTAAACATCAAAACAATGATAGACACGCTATGTTATTCGATCTGTCCTCCAAGGGATGGGATGACACCTGAGCAATTCCAAAAATATTCATCATCATCATTTTCTTGCAATGACCTCGGGAAATATTCTTTCTACATTCTGTTTTTAGGTCTATCAATCGATGCTGAACATGCCTTTATTCCCTTTTTGTAATTTTTCTTTCAAGCAGACATACCACATAACACGATAACAGACTAATGAGCCGTTTGTAACAGCAAAATCATCCATTCGTTTCCCAACTGCATTACAGCATACACATCCACTATGTTTTCCTCTTTAAGCAATGGTCCAAACAGTTGATAATGCCAACTAGCAACAAACACACAGTCATTTTGTTATTCAATTGCAATACATAAATGTCTTCTAGCCCATATTAATGGCTACACTTATTTAAGATTTCAAGCAGTTGCCATCAGTTAAATTTAATACAAGGATTATACATACATATAGGGCATCTAGTTATTCAAATCCCATACACATGGTGACATTTGAAGACTTCAAACAGCTGCTTCGGCAGGGGAGGGTATTGCCTCTAGTACATAAACAGGGTCTCCCACTTTGATTATCTTTCCCTTTCCTTCAGTGGAGGATTCAATGCAAACTAAGTTCTGGCCAAAGTATACCTGTAAATATACTCACAACGTAAATTCAATAAAATTTTAAATGAACGAAGGAATATAGAGTTAACACTTTGATACTTGTAAATATACTCACAACGTAAATTCAATAAAATTTTAATGAACGAAGGAATATAGAGTTAACACTTTGATTTAGATCCATCTCACCAGGCCCTGTGGGTTTTTTGCTAGATGTAGGACTTTATCTGTCCGAAATTTCTTCAGAGTTTGAGTTGGCTCAGCGCTTGCAATTGCAGTTTCTTGGTTAATATTGGGAACCTGAAAACAATTGTGCATAACTTTGATGGTGACTGTGATAATCTAAAAACGTGTCAACTTTTGTCTGTATCTTGAACTCCATTAGGAAAAATGCTTTCTATAAAACCCCACTTCTATTTGTAATTTGCCCTAGAAGCCTGCACGGTTCAAAAAGAAAAAAGGGCTATACAAAACACCAATTGAAGAGTCGCCAAACCATATCTAGCTTGGAATGGTTACAAACATGTAGATGGAAAAAAGTTACTAAGAATATAAATTACTTAATCATCCATGATAGAAATATTCCAACTGAACATTCCAAGATTTACAAACAAAAAATAGTTAGAAATATTCCAACTGAACATTCCAAGATTTACAAACAAAAAATAGTTACTCTTTTAAATGGCCATCTCAATCCAAATGAAATTGAGAAATTCAGAAATGAGCTTAAGAAATTATATCAGTTAACAATCTAGGAACCTTTTTACCTTGCAACGGGAGCATAGTTTGACACCACGGAATGTCAACTTGTTTATCTTCATCTCCTTCCACAAGTCCTCAGAAAATGGTTCACAGCCGTCAACAAAGATGCTGTCAAATTCAAGTGAAGAACTTCTGAAATTCAAAGTTGTCCATTGAAGAAATCTATATCACAATAAGAAAATGAACACCCCCTCCCCTACCCCAAACCAAAGAAAATATGAAAGAGAGAGGAAGACAAAAATAATGCTCTTGAGTGGAGCAGAGGAAAGGATACATATCTCATTATTAAATATAAGGTTTTAGTCAAACAAATCATGATTTCTCCTATACTTATATTGCTCAACAGTTGTCAAGCCTTGCAGAATATTTGAATGAACACATGCACTCTCCTGTACCATATCTACCAGGTATAATCCCAAATTTATTGCTCAACAGTAGTCAGCCATGATTCTTGATAAGCTTACTATGGCATTTAACCAGCACTCTATGCATAACATTAAAAACAAATGTTCTCACTGAAATAACAAGAGAATTGTCCAAACACAAACTTGGGTCTGAATCGGTTGACTGATACAGGCTCCTTGAGAAGCTTATTTAGAGCATTCAATGATCCCTGACAAAGTCAAAATGACAGGAACTACATCTCAGATTTTATATAATGGCATCTAATAATCAGAAATTCATATCCTACATTTGCTAACCTGGGACAGCAAAAGGAATGGATACATGTCGGAAAACATAACATTGTATCCATGCGCATAATTAGGGTCCACAGGCCTGTTCTCCTTTCCTGCATAATAAACAGACTAGACTACTGTAGTCAGTTATGATTTGCAGCCCCTCTTTCCAGGAACATTACAGGGTAAAGACATCTATCCAATGGATTTCCTTGCGTTCATCAGTCAAAAAACTGCAAAACCATATGCAAGAAGATATGCGGCTGGATATGATATTGCTTGCATGTACTAATGGAATCAAATGGTTATCAGATAAACCAGGAAGGGTGCAAGCTTCATATAGTGAGGCTAGAAAACCAGAAATAGAAGAGGGTAATAGTAGTTTAGGCTCCATTAGGTTTCTTAGTTTTCCTCATTACGAATGACTAAGTCTAGGTATATTAAACGCGAAAATTATAATATATAGATTAAATAAAATGAACAATTACAAAACAACATATCAGTAAAATATCAACCCCTATAATTCAAATAAAACCCTCTAGGTGGTAACTGCAAATAAAACAAATCCTCAAAAGTCAGGGTTAATGACACAAGTCTGGATCAGCATTCAAAGACAGAATATCCAGGTCTAGTCCCTGATATAAGTAAAAGCTCTCATCTAAAAGACAAAATATCTTTTAAATTGTTGATTAACATCTCATCTAAAAACTCAAGCTTATAAAACATGGATAACTAAATTATTTATTTCCTAACATGCCCCCTCACGTATGGCCGAGGTTTTTACTCATAATATAGGCAACAGGTGGAAACTTTAAACTAGTAGGTGGTGGTACTTGAACATAGGACCATCTCCTCTAAAAGCTCAAACTTGTAAAGAGAGGGGAACTTGAATTATTCTTTCTTAACATTACCATCACCAATATACATTAGAGTAATGATGGAACAATTGAGATAGATTATAAAATGATGTAACACATATGATAACCAGTGCTTTGACTTTTGCACCCAGGATCATTTTGCACCTACAAAAGGTCTAGATAAACAGTAAAAGATAATTGCCAACAAGCAACATCTGCACAGATATGCTTCCCTTCAAATATATATATATATATATATATATATAGTTCATACTGGAGGTTGAAAGTTTTCTCTTTGGTGCTACAGGAAAGGAGAAGAAAACTAGCAAGCTATGATATTAGAGAATTGAAAAGAAAAAATAGTTTCTGTAGCTTCTATATTGCACAGTTAAATCAACTTATCCAATTACTAGCAGATAATTATCTTTAATTACAACATTTCTATTAAAGAAGATTATTTGCAGAATAAAATAATTTATATAAATTATCATTTACACACCAGGAGTGTGGTTATTTAATTGGATCTAAACTTTGAAGTACCTTCATTGAAACGCACTAGCCGACTGGGTTTTCCAAGATAACTGGAGAACCAATTTGATGCTTCAGGCCCCTCATCAAGAGCAGAGCCAGACCATTCCCACACTGAGACACCATCAGAAATTTCACAAGGTCTACTCAGAGGAATCTTTAGCTCAGTCATACCAGGAGCTCTGATCACTGCAGTAGGAAGTGAGCATTAGGCACACTGAATCTCTCTATGAAGCCATTGTGAAGCAATAATATGTCTAAGAAAAGAACAACAGAAACAATTCATCTAAATTTTTGCAAATCAAAATTGGCCCCTAGAAGACAGGTGGAAGGCATACTTTTAATAGCTAAAAAATAAGATTAGTGATCTAGAATCCTGCAACAAACTGGCAGGGTCTTAGATGCATCTGCAGGGGGCAGGGAGGCGAAGGCCCCTGTATTCTCCACATTTCCTATATATACAGTTTTCAATCCCAAAAACAAATACTTGAAAATTTTTATAATAAAGTAGAACACTCAATGTGTTACTTAATTTCAATGTTTATATTCACTTACATTTAAACTCACTTCAGATCAAAGGCAATATTTTATGGTCTATGGGTCCATTCATATTACTAATACTTTAGCTTCATAAAGCTGAGAACTTTTGAAGTTGTAAGTTCTTACTCCATTAACATTAATTTAGAATTTTTCAGATCAATCAATTAATTATTTGCTAAATTAAATTTTTTTATATTTTCATTTTTTCTGTGCAAGTAGTCTGCATACTTCTTTCTAACCAATTTAATTTTTGAAATTTAATTTGAAAAAAAATACCTGTAGAAATTTTATCAGTTAAATTGATTTGACTTATACGAACAAGTGTAGTATATAGCCTCTATGCATTGAAGTTTTGTGGTGGCACCCACCATGCAAGACCTTGTTTTTGGATCCATCCTTAGACAGAGGCATTTATAAAAAAGGTTATTAGCACAATTTCTATCTCAATTAGCAATTAGCACAATTTCCATCTCAACTAGCAATTAGCACAATTTCTATCTCAACTAGCAATTAGCACAATTTCTATCTCAACTAGCAATCTAGAGATGCAAAATACTACATAGTTAAGATTAATGAGGATTAACATCAAATTTCTTAGGTCATTTCATTTGTATAAACAAATCCAAGGAGACAGTATAAAATTGTTAGACAATAATATTAGTAAGTAGAGATAGTAGATGATATTCTAAATCTTAAATGTTAAGCTGGGTTTCCAAATTATGACCACTATGCTAGAATGCAAAGTTAATGGGAAGCCAAAAAATTTACAATAAAAGTGATTAATTAATTGCAAAATTTACATTAACCAATATGTAATTTTGACATATTATGGTGGCAGAGTTGTCCATTTATGGACATTTGCATCATTAATTGACCAGGACATGCACTTTCTATGAAAAAAGAAAAAAGAAAAGGATTTCATCATCAAACATTAGAAGTTAAAACTCTCCTACCTATGAAGACAAAATTTTATGCAATACCAATATTTATATTTAGAATAAAAGAAAAAATTGTTATGTCCAATATTGCTAACCTTTCAAATTCTGTTTATAAGCATAATCAAAGAACACTAATCAAATCAACTAGTAAATGGCTTTTTACCCAAAAATGAGCTTTTAGTAGGTAGCCAGCCCTCAGAAAATGCCTCATTTGGTAGCTCCACTTGGATTAGAGCAAGCTTTGGTTGAACTCTCTGAGTATATCCCCTACCATTGGAGTTCACAATCAACCACTGTCTATCCCACCTAAATCCTGTATATTCACACACAATAGAAGTTGGAACTGAGTACAAAAGTACAAAGTTATTTCTTGGCCATAACATGCATTATCATACCATACTTTACTAAAGAAGCCAAATGAAATTGTTGATATCACTGCTTATTCTTTGTTTTAATTCCGTAAGTTATGTTGGCAATACCACACAATTACATAACAATATCTTTGGAAACCAAGTAAATTTGTCATTTGTATTTCTGAAGAACCATCATATGAAGTAACAAATAATGAAAGGACATGAACAACAAAAATGTACCATATAAAACAATTAGTATAAACTACAAAGAACTGCAGAGTAAAAGCCATAATATTGTAGGCAGATAAGAGAAATAGATAGAGTTTAACAAAGTCAAAATAAGAAACTGAAGGATTTCATATAAATTGTTCATTAGGAAATTTCCTCAAAAGCTAATTATAGGTTCTTCCATCCATTAGAACAACAGGGCTGTTATGGTCATCACTAAACTTGTTGAAGTTCATTTCAAGGGAAATAAACAATTCAGTGATCTAATCAAATAATATTAATATAGTTCAACAGAAACTAACAGTATCTACTCAGACATTACAGTGCAATTATGTGGATTCCAGGGCAGACAGTAAGGGTAAAAAGGTCAGTCTGACACTATAGGCACTGAAATGCAAAGAGGTTTACTTGGAGAAACAGAAGGAGCACCGGAACATGTATGCATGCACAAAATCTGAGAAAAACCACAGGATAATCTATCATAGTAGGTATTCAATTATCAGGGCATGAAATTTTAATAAAATTGAAAGAAATCTATTGGGAAGTAATCTATTTGGAGCTACGGAAGTATTAAGTAACCGCTCAAGATTTCATCTCACTCCCTTGTGAGGAAACCGTTGACCATACACAATACAGCTAGCTTGACAGAAGAACCCATTGATTTATGTATTGGATTACAACTTTGGATAAAATTATAGACAGATTATCCAAGTACATTTTAATACATCTCAGAAAGCCATTAAGGTTATGTTTTCTATGCAACAATTTCAGTAAACTAAACTCAATATATTATATTAAATTGACAAAATAATTCTTACATGATTTCTTTTTTTCATTTGAGAAAAAAGACAAAAATATTATAGATTGCCATTTTGTGCTCTCATAGTAGATTCTTCAATTTAATTCTGGCCTGTAATTAAATATTTTCATCAACCATTTTTTACATCTAGGTGATCTATGTTGGAGATTTGTGCTTGGTTAATCTAGATTTGGAGTTAGTTAATCTTGAACAACATATGTTATGTACATAATAAATTATTACGATTTATTGGCTAAAATTTCAAACTTTCACATTTAAGAATTTGACCACGGTGGCTTTAAGTTTCCCAATTTGTGAAAGAGGACAAGATTGCCGCATGATACAGATTAGCTTATTAAGTCTGTCTTAACTTGCAAGAAACAGAAAAGAAATGTGAAAGAATAATAGGTCTTCTTATTCAGACAGCTTCGGTCGATTGTCCAACCGGCTGTCTACAGTAACATTCCTAAAAAAATTTTTTAAAAAAATCATTTCCTTTAACTGATAACACACAATTTAAAGCATGAAAATCCGTTCGTGAACCAGAAAAATTAGTCATCCCCCCCCCCCAAACTCACTTTCGCCTATAAATTTATTGAAACAGACGAAGTTAATGCTCTACGTTTGGGAAACCAAGCTTTTTTTTTTTTTAAGCAAAATGGGAAGAAATAAAATAAAGTTGAAAAAATGCAAACGAAGAAGAAATTTAAATTTCTTGTTATTTTTCATTTATTAAGAAGATGAGATTAATGCGTAATGGAAATTAAAACCTATCTTTGGGAAAAACGAGTATAAGCCGTAATTTGGTAGGAAGAAAGAAACATTTTATTAGTGGGCTGTATCATTCATAGTATTGTTTGATGCTTACTGGTAAATTATAAGTCAAGAGAATAAAATAGGAGCTAATTTGATCATATCTTCAAACAAACAGAAAAACCCATCTGTAGTATTGATTTAGAGATAAAATGATTGTGGGTTTGTTGTTGTTGTGACTTTCGTCCTAAAACCATTCAAACAATCAAATCCAAAAGCGATTGTTGAATGCTAATACTCCCTTATGGCCAAGTAAATGGAAAAATTATTTAAGGTGAAAATCACGAGAGTCGAGTAATATAGTGAATGGTGAAAACAATATAGTCGAATAATAGAGTGACAAGTAAAAGATAAGAACAGATAAAGAGTATACCAGTGGAAGTGATGGCTGCCTGAGAAACAGAGATTCCACGGCAAGATTTGATTGGGTATATGAAGATTGATGTCACCTTTGCCGCTGCTTCTGCCGCGCTGCTCCTACACGAGGGCCCACTCATTTTCCTCTAAGAACTAGAAATTGTTGATTGTTGGAGAAGTAGTGGCCTGAGCCTCCTGGCCTACGATGATCATAAGGGTACGGGGATTTAAATAGAGACAAGAGGCCCCGAGAGCGCAGCCTGGGCATTGACTCCGGTCAGGAGCGAGGGACGAGCGCGGTGCGGAAGAGAACATTTTTCCGCTAGGGAACAGAAGAGTGGGCCCCGGCGAGAGTCGGATATCCCTTCAAAACTCTTTTTTTTTATTTTTTAAGTAAATTTAAGTCCTTTTTTATAATTGCATTTTGATGTCTTTTAATGGTATTATATTAAATTTTTAAATTTAAATATCCTAAATATATCTGAAAGTTGCATTCAAACAAAGGAGAAAATTATAGACACCCCCTCAGTTTATTGTCTTGTACCACTTGCACCTCCTCAAAGTTTAAATGTGGCAGTTTACTCCCCTCATGTATGGAACTGCTCACTGGTTGGCTGCAACACATTGCACAGCAAAAAATATAAATAATAATAATAATAGAATAGAATTAAAAATTTTAATAAATATAATAAGAAAATTATTAACATTTAAAAATATGTGATATCTTCTTTTACATCAATTTTTTAAAAGTGATATAATATAATTTATTAGTGGTTAAATAATATTATTGAACAAATTGAATTTAAATATTTAGAATTAGTGATTTAAATTCTGTAAGTTATTTGATTTAGTAATTTTTCAATAATTTAGTAATTCTTCTTATTTACGAATTTATTTTATTTGGATACAAATATAAATTTATCCCTTAACAAGAATATCAAATGTTTAAATAAAAAGATTATGATACCCTGTTTTATATTGATTTCTGAATATAATATAATATAATATATAAAATATTAAAAAATATAAGTAAATAATATGAGTTTAAGTATTTTATACGAGTTATTCAAATTCAAACCCAACAAGTTATCTAAGGCAATAATTTTGAAAAGTAATATTTTGTGATATTTATTACGTTCAAAAAGTTGGCTTTTTGTTTGATTATTTTAAAAAATGTAAAAAAGTAAACAAAGGGAAATTTAACTACTATTTTCTCGTGATTTATGTGAATATTGAAAGATAAATTAAAAAAGAACTCTAAAATTTAAAATCTCAATTATTAGAAAAAAAAATTTTGCTAAATTTTCAATTTTTTATTTTGAAAAATAAAAAACAACCTTCTTTTAATCAACAAATCACTTCTTTTACGTAAAAAGACATAGTGGAGGGAGCTGGTTTTCAACAATAAAAAGTTTATTCTTTTAGCTTTTTAATCTGGTATATATCAAATTAGCGTGTATAATATTACTCTTATGCTAGTATTCTCATCTATAATATTACTCTTATGCTAGTATTTTGATCTATTATAATAAATTAAATCTCACATGTTAACAAGAAGATATAAAATATATCACATTTTATAGTCTATGTGATATTACTCTTAAAATAGCAATTTCAGTTTTTACAAAAATTAAACATTACGTGTTGATAAGAAGATACAGAATATAGAGAGAGATAAAGACACCAAGGTGTTTATAGTACAGTTTAGTTCAATTTAATTCTCAAATTTAAATTAAATTATATTTTATACTTTGTAATTTTTAAAAACTAAATCAAATAACGATTCATAATTTGGTTTGATTTTAAATCATAGTTTATGGTTTTCAAAATAAAATAAATTAAATTCACTATTTTTATAAAAATTTGGACAGATTTTCTTGAAAATTAGCTATTTTATTTTTTTTAACTTATTTAACTCAACAAATTCATTATTTATCAATTAACTATATAATAATTATATATTATATAATAAATATATTTATACTGTATAATAAAATTTCACTCTTACTAATAAAATTATATTAAAAAATAATCAATTATTAAAATAAATATAAATATAAAATATAACAAAAAGAATCAATATGTAAATAGATAATAATAAATTATGTATATAAAAATAAAAAAAATTTAATTTTATATAAATACACACTATATAATATAATATAATATAATTTATATAATTTATTTAAATATTAAATATTACAACAAATTGTCTAATTTTTTAAAAATTAAATTAAATTATGATTTTATTAAATTAAATGATTTGGTCGCGTACGATGAAGACGTCTGACACACTGCCAACGTGAAACTCACCGACGCTTGTTGTTTCCATGTTACGCGTTGCAAAAAAGAACTGGTCCCGGACTCCTGGATTTAGATTCCGTGCAGAACTTCCCTCCCTCCCCCTCCTTCACTTTTAGGCGGATGGGAATCTGAAATAATAATTTAAAAAACGTGAACAGCGTGCAGGCTTGCTTTTTTATCTGAGACTACTTCAAAATTTTGGATTATCATATTTCTTTTCAATTCAAGTTCCTCCATTTTATTTTAGGTTAGAAGGATCTAGATGGAAAGAACAAACGTCAACGTAAATATTTTTAAGAAATATTTTATAGAGATGAAGATGATAGGGTATATAAGCAGCAGTTTGGCCCTTTATAGTTACTAAACTTTATACTAATTTGCTGGTCACACTTGATCACTGGTGACTAAATTGGTAAAACACATTTTGCTTCTTTCAGAATTGATTAAATAATATTTAGTCTCATTTTTATTCTAAAAAATATTTTTTTTCTTTTAACTAACTATTATTTAATAATTTTATAAAAAAAAAGATTAAGATAATTTAATTTCACTTACCTGAATTACCTATCTAATTAAAAATTAAAATATTATTCGATTCATTTTAAAATTTTAAATTTTAAATTAAGGATTTTAAAAAATAAAAGTTTTACTTTTTGATAATATAATTTCACTATTTTTAACTTTTTTAAAAAAAATTATTTTATTATATTTTGATTTTATTTAACTCTTTTAGTTTAGACAATACTCAACCTTTTTTTTCTAACTTAAATAACATCCAACCCATTCTTATTTTAACATTTAAAATCAAACTAAAAATATAATGAAATAAAAATTATTCAAAATTTGAAAATGATAAAATTAAATCATCAAAAGTAAGATTTTTTGATTTTTCATAATTAAAAATAAAAAATCTTATAACAAGTTTTTAAGTAAATAAAAGAATATTTCAATTTTTAATCGGATGGGTCACTAAAGGTCACAACCTAGAAGACGAATCCGTAACCGGCGCTAAGGTTATAATAGGTTCCATTCTCACAAACTTTTTACATGGAGACAATGTTAAATAAACCATGAATCTAAACATATTATACAGTTTGAAACATAAACTCAAACCTCAGTACAAATGTCAAACTATCTGAAAATTCTGTATGTGATCCATAGAACTACTAAGACAAAATAGACACATCAACTAAAAAAGTAAACAAAACTGAGAAATTGAAAATCAAATCAATGGGAACCATGGTCTCTACTCAATCTACGGAATTCGTCAGGTGAGCTGAACCTGAGTTTGAAAAATAAACGGATAAGTTTAACGACTTAATGAATAGTAACACGTATTTACATGAATAAATGACATATATTAAGCAGTTTTCATCATAAAAATAAAAATTTCAACTTCTACAAATTTAGGGAGTTCGTAAAAGAGAACTGAATAGAAAACAAAACAACAACCTTATGGTCTGCCAATACATATAATAGCACGATGACCTCTTAGTTTACCAGTAATCAATAATAGGCCTATCACGTCAGCTTCACATAATAATCTAGGACCATTCCTACTAGCTAGTGATACAGGCCAATGTGCACCTAGTCTAATAATTATTGTTGTTAGTTATAGTGTTTTAATCGTTCGAATCTCCCTTCAAACATTTTTCTTGAGTTTAATATAAACAGTTTTCAAATATTCATTTGTTCAAGTATAACATAAATCAATTCTTCCCATGAAGTTCCTCAAACAAATCACATAAATGACATAATAATAACAAAATCACTTAGTTCAAAAAATTTCCTATTAAATCCAAAAATAGCATATACATCCCTTGTGAGTTTTTATAGCATGTTAAATTCCAATTTCGAAATATCTGAATTTATAAAATAACTCATGTAAAAAACTTAACATTTAGTAGATACAGAAAATAAAAAATTATATAAATATGTATTACTGTTCACAAAAATTGGAGAATTTCAAAACCCGAGCTTTAGCGATATGTCTCCACGAGAGTCGAACAATCAGCCTAAAAAATAACAATATCATTCTTTTAGGATCTATTATAACTCATAATTAATTAAAAATTTAAATTTCCCTCCAATACCCCACTAATCCTTTAGGCTTTTCGTGTGCGAAACCCGTGTCGAGTATTCCAAAGTCTTGAATCGATCAAATAATTCCTATCTCAAGTACTAATGTCTTGAACCGGCTTATTAAACATAAGACCGGTCTAATTACCCTTTAACCCAACCAAACCGTCGTTAAACCGATCAC